TGTGGAGTTTGTCGCAATTGCTACTTCGCAAAGTGGTGAAGCTGTATTGTTACCTGGCCAACAGCTCAAGTAGTCTTGAAATTTGTGGTGAATTTCATATTTTGCTCATCGCACCCCGGACTTCGCAGGACGTAAGAATACATATGGGAACCACCCTAACCTTCATCAGTGCTTAGAAACCATGAGAATCAGACGCTCCCTCACTATTCAACAATTTAGCTCACATATCTATCAGACATGTACCAAAGCCCCGCTAGTTGCATTTACATTAGTTAGTTGCGGAAATGCCCAAGAGCATTTCGGAGCAGGGTGATTCCATGTGATAGGAAATTCGGGTTCGCCAGTTTCATTGAACCTGGCAACTCCCAGGGCAGTGCGCCTTGGGAGAACCGAGCAAGCAGCAGCATTGTACCGTATCCATGCCAGCACAGCGGCGCTCCCAAAAGAAAACGGAATCGTCTGTGGAGTGGAGCGGAGCGGATAAAGGTGCGGCGGGGGCTTTTATGGTGTCCGCCATTTCAGATTCAGCAGCAGGATTATTAGCTTCACCCCCAAACATCCAGCAGCCAGACGTTCCTTTTGATTGCATCCAGTTTTCCAGCACCGCGGATCTTTAACTCCACCCCACATGGCGCTGGCCGATCAACATGCGGGGTAAACCCCGACTGTTTCGCCACAAACGTTTCCCCTCTCTTGATAACCGTGTTCCTGAGTCAGACTGGGCTGAGCTAGCAGCAATGGCGGGCTCCGAGGATCACCATCATATCGGTATGCCGCACACGCAGCAACAACGCCCTCTCCTCGCATCCTCCGACGCTGCTCCGAAAAGCATGCCGACTTACCTGAGACGCAGCCTCGGGGCGCTCTTCTTCGGCGCGCGATCCAACGTTCTCCTGATCTGTGTTCCCGCGACCTTTCTCGCCATCCTCCATAATTTCCCAGATGGATACATCTTCACCCTCAGCCTCCTTTCCTTGATCCCCCTCGCGGAGCGTCTCGGTTTCGTTACAGAGCAACTCGCTTTGTGCACTAACCCTACCCTGGGCGGGCTCCTCAATGCGACGTTCAGCAACGCCCCGGAACTGATCATCGTTCTAGTGGCTCTTAAAAGGGGACTCGTTCGGATTATTCAGCTCTCGATTCTCGGATCGATCCTGGGGAATCTGCTGCTGTGCCTGGGGAGCGCGTTCCTCGCAGGAGGAATCTACCACAAGCATCTGGAGTTTAACCGCCCAGCCGCTCAGATGAACAGCGGTACGTTGAAGCATCCGATTGATTTATTACCGATTAATCATGGCGTAAAGCACATCGCGGATTGATCGTGACGATATAAGCATGAAGCATGTCTTGTTTCTGTTCGTCAACTAACAATCACGAGAACTGCCGTCGTGTCTCTGTCCGGAAGGGCCGGAAAGAAACACAAAGATCACGCGGATCGTTTACTGGGACAGACCGCGTCTATTTTTGAGGCGCCTAAAAAAATGGACGCGAAGACGACGCAGCTTGTTTACTGAGAAAGCCCATGTTAGCCTAGGGTATTGCCGCCAGGCATGAGTGCCGCGGCGAGAACGGCGAGAACGTGCCTCCTGTTGCATACGAGTGCTGCTGCGGACGTTCGCTTCTCCCGCCCCTCCATCGTCTTTTCCGTTCCTCCAGTCCGCGCATCTCTCTCAACGCAACGCCCTACTTCTCCTTGCCTTCCCCCCCCTACCCCTTCCCCCTGCCCGTTCCCGCCCCTCCTCTCCTGCCCCCCCCCCGTTCCCCCCGCCTTGTTCCGCAGGCGCGCTGATGCTGGCGATGAGCGGGATGCTCTTCCCGAACCTCCTCCACGCCACGGGCACGGAGCTCCACGAGTACGAGTCGCAGCTCGGCCTCTCGCGCTTCGCCGCCGTCCTCATGCTCTTCGCGTACGGCGCGTACATCTACTTCCAGCTCGTCACGCACCGCGAATTCTTCGAGGAGGGCGAAGACGGCGGCGACGGCGCGGACGGCGGCGGCGGCGGCGGCAGCGGCGTGGAGCAGTCGGAGCTGGGCTTGTGGGGCGGCGTGTTCTGGCTGATTGTGGTGACGACGCTGATCTCCGTTCTGTCGGATGATCTGGTGAATTCGGTCGAGGGAACGGCCACGCAGTGGAATGTGCCATTCTCCGGGATCTGCGTCGTCGTGCTGCCACTCGTTAATAATGTCACTGGTGATTGCCTTGCCACTACTCCTCCCCTAACCCCCTCCTATCCCCCTTCATCCCACCCCCCTCCTTCTCTGCCCGGCTCTCAACTGAACTCGTTTTTTTCCTTTTCCCAGAAACCCAACACCCCTCCCTCTTTCCTCCCCACCCCAACCCCTCCCCTCCCCCTCTCTCCCCCCTTCCTGTTACCGCTTCCCCCTTTGCTTCCAGTAAGAATCTGAAATTTCTGAAGAACAATCTACTCCCACAATCTCCGCCTTTCTTTGTCTTCCCCGATCCCTCCACTGCGCCTACCAGGCCACACGCCTACCGTTCTCTTGGCATGTGTGGCAAGCTCAGCTTATCGTTTCTCTCCATTGCCTTCGTCTCGTCCGTCCAGCTCTTCCACCCCTTTCAACCTCGTTCAACCCATCTCACCCCCTTGCGCCCCACCCTCCTCACTCAAACCTTCACCCTCCTCCTGCTCCACCTTTCCTGCTCACTGTCTCTCTCACCCCTCTCTCCTCCCTCCCTCCTGCCCCTTTTCCCCACACCCCACCAGAGCACACGTCCGCCATTTTCTTTGGCATGCGCGACAAGCTCGACGTGGCGCTCTCCATCGCGGTCGGCTCGTCCATCCAGCTGGCAATGTTCCTCATCCCACTCGCCGTCATCGGCGGGTGGGTCATCGGAGTCCCCATGGACCTCAACTTCCACCGCTTTGAAACGCTCTCGCTCTTCATCACAGTCCTTGTCACCGTTCTGATGCTTCATGAGGCCAATGCCAACTGGCTCAAGGGGCTCATGCTTGTGCTCATGTACGCGATTCTCGCCGCGACCTTTTTTAATCACAAGGAGACGTTTCTCGGGCCGAACCCGGGCGACGGGGGGGGTGGGACGGGCGGGGTTGGAGGGGTGATGGGCGGGGCTGTGGGGATTCCTGTGCTGCACCACGACTTGTGATGCGGTGGCGTGTGGTGAGGTGCGGTGGTGCGTGGTGGGGTATTTGTGTGATGGGGTGTGATTATGTATTACAGGGTGTGATGTGTTGTGACGGTGTTTGAGGGTGTGTGATGGATAATGATGTGGTTTGGTGGCATTACATGGGGACTGTAGTATGCAGTGATGGCATGGTGGTAATGTGTGTGGCAAGAGCATGCGCAGGGCAAAGAAACCCTGTCGATGTATCTGCTGCCGTGATTTTGCCTGAGGGCAAACTGTCCGTCCGTCTCTTGCAACCGGCTCCCCTGCCTGGCTCCCTGCCTTTCAAGTTGGATGGTTAGACTGATTGGGAAGGAACTTGTTAACGTGTGTCTAGGCTTTACTCGGAGGAGCAATGCTCTGAGGTTATTTATTGTGCACATAGTATGCTCACGCGAGACTGATGCGTTTGTTGTTTCAATTAGGTGTCTCTTCTCTACAACATCATGTAACCCTGTATCCGTTATAAGGCAGGCTGGTCCTTGGCACTGTTAGCATGATATAAGAGCGTGTTCCTACGGCCTGTTATCAGGCCAACCGCTAGTCAGACTCGCACAAACCACTTACATCTCGGTTAATACGACTTTTTATTGTGGAATTTTCGCGTGGCCTGAGGAGCGCGATAAAAAACGCTTGGATGGCTGTTTTTTTTGCTGCCCTGAAATATTATCTGTGGATTTAGGTCTGAATCGAAACGTGTGAACATTACTCAATTGACTCGTTCCGTCATTTGTGAACAATTTCTGGCGACTGCCGCACGCGATGAAAAAGGAAACCACATCCGACAAAACAGAGGTCTGTTTGCACGTGATATCGATATCGCGTCAGAAAGATTTGCAGTGCGATCACTCGAGATGGTTCGCCGATGTGCCACGTCAGAACAATTTCCCGCGCGAATTCGTGTCGCGCGATACAGTCTTCAAAATTATGTTTAATAACGAAAACCTCGAGGACCTCCGAGTCTGATATCAAGGACCCTGATAACAGGCCTGTAGGAACACGCTCTAAGGAGGTTTGTGCACCATGCAAGTTGGGCATTCAGTGTTCTTCCTTCTGTAGTAAAAATCGCTACCCGGAAAAGTGGGTTTTGTAGCCCCTGCGAATTCTGGAATTTGTTGAGCTGGGTACTGGTACGGTATTTTGAATCTCAAAGATTTGGTCCTGGCTGGTAGAGAGTACTGTATTACATGCCGCATGAGCACTATCACCCGGAACATATGGTAGCTTGAAAATTATAGCCTGTGGGACCAATTAATGAAAGAAAGCAGCATATATCACTGGTTGTTCCCAGGTTTAGTGTTCTATCATACAACAATTCGGTTAGTAGACAACACAAATGGGTCCAAGTTTAGCACAAATAACCAATGATCTCCAGCCTGGAAGAGCTGGTGTTCTGGGTAGCTGCCTGCCACTGCTGGTTACTGGCATGCTTCAGCCTTACAAGGGGCATGACTGGGCTGTAAGAGGCAGAGACGAGAGCACTGTGGTGCAGATGGAGTTGGAGCAATTAGAAGCGAGCATGTGACGAACGGGGTATGGTAGCTGGTGGCAACAGGTGGTCTTGCTGATGGGCAGGTTCTGGTGATAGGCAGCTGAAGGGCAGCAGGTTTTGCATTTCCAGCAGGCACAGCAGAGACCCAGGGGAGAAGAGGGGTGGTGCAGCGCCGAGCCAGAGCCATGGGCAGCGAGAGGCTGCCTGTGACAGAAGTGATAGTGATAGCAGCACCGCACGCACATGCACTCGCACACTTCTAGCCTCGGAGAGGCGAGTGAGAGTGAGAATGAGAGTGAGAGGAGGCAAGACGGAGAAGGATGGGAGAAGAGAACGGGTGTAATGAACGCGGGTGTGTACGTGTCAGGGTGACAGGAGCACCAGGTTGCGCCGGAGAGAGGAGATGAGGGATGGAGGCAGCAGCGTGAGAGTGTGAGAATCCACCACTACTCTCGTCAGCGGCAGGCCCACCAGCTCTGTCAGTTTCCCGCCTCCACTGCTGCCGTTGCCGCTACCACTGCCACTGCCACTGCTCCAATGACCTCCATTTAAAGCTCTGCCACATGATTCAATACCCCCGTTCTCACGCCTCGGTGCTGAATCATCACCCCTCTTGCAAGTCCCCTGCCCTAGCAGCAGCGTCTCTCCGCCTGATGCAATTCTCCCCTCTGTTGCTTCCCCTTGCCGCTCGCTCCCAGCAAGCAGCGGGCAGTGCAGGAGCACGAGGGAGGAGAGCGAGGAGAGGCGGGAGATTCCTTGCGGGAGGGCGGTGAGGGAGGGGCAGTTGAGCAGGACCAGGCGGCGCAGGGAGGGAAGGGAGGTGAGGGAGGAGGGCAGGTGGCGAAGGGAGGAGCAGTTAATGAGCTCGAGACAGTGGAGGCTGGAGAGGTGGTGGAGAGAGGGGCTCAGGTGGGATATACCGTGGGCTGCTGCTGCTGCTGCTGCTCCTGTTGCTGCTGCTGGTTCTGCTGGTGGTGGTGGTGCTGCTGCTAAAGCAGGTGCGGAGGGAACTGCAGTGTGGAAGTAGAATTGCAAGGTGGTCACAGGAGTGCCACCCATCACACCATCCGCCCACCGCCACTCCTCGCTCCCTCTTCCAAATCCCCTCTGCCCTCCCTTCCTCCCTTGCATCTCCCACTCCCACGCACGAAACCCTACAATCTGCTCCCCCCCTGTCTCCTCCTCCGCCTCCACCTCTCCTTCGTGCAAAGCCTCCCCCCTGCTCTGGTGCTCAAACCCAAACGCGTTTTCCCCGAGGTCCCACAGCTTGCTGCCAGGAGTCACAACAGCAGCAGCCGCAGCCGCAGCACGCAGCGCAACTGCCGGCGGTGCTGCTGCTTCTGCTGCTGCGGATGCATCTACTGCTGCTGCTTCTGCTGCTGCTGCTGCACCTGCTTCTGCAGTCGACGATAAAGGCGGCCGTGTTTCGGAGAAGTCAAGAGTGAGGCAGCGGAGGGAGGAGAGCAGGTGGAGGGAGGCCGGCAGTGAACGCAGGCCGATGTTTGACCGGAGCACCAGCCGCTGCAAGCCACGTGCTCTGCCTAGGGAGTCAGGAAGGGTTACCAGCCCTCCTGGCCCATCCTCCTCCTCCTCGTCGTCCTCCTCCCCTCGTGCTTCTTCCCGCTTTGTGTTTCCTTCGCCAAACCACTCCGCCTCCTGCTGCTGCTGCTGCTGCTGCTCGTCCTCCTCTTCCCCCTCCTCTGAATCTCCATCCACCCTGTTGTCTACATAAATACATGCAAGCTTTTCCAGCTGCCCCAAGGACTCGGGCAGCGACCCCACAGAAAAGCACTGCACCAGGCGCAGCACCCGGAGATTGCTCAAGCTGCCCAGCGACTCGGGCAGCATTGAAATTTCATAGCAGCGCCTGAGATCAAGAAGCCTAAGGGAGTGAAGCTGGGAGAAGGTTAGGGGTAAGTTGGTTAGTCCACACTCCTCTGAATCGTCAGAAAACCCTCCTGAATCGAAAACAAACTCCTCTAGAGCTCCTAAATACCCAATGCTTTCGGGCAGCTCAGTGATCCTCGGGCAGCCGCGAATCTCTAGTTGTCTAAGGCTTGATAGGTCGCCGAGGGATTCGGGCAGGTATGATATCGTTCCAAGCCACGAAGTGCTGCCTGTCATGTCTAAAACTAACTCGGTCAGTTTGTTAAGGTGCCTGATGGTTTCGGGCAGCTGCTGTAACGAACAACAGCAGCGGATGTGCAGCAGCTCGAGAGCTGCTAATCTGCCCAGAGATTCGGGCAGCCTACGAATGCAGTCAAGGCTAATTAGGCGAAGCTCCTGGAGGTTTGATAGCTGCCCGATTTGTTCAGGCAGGGAAGCTAACTGACAGCAGCACACCAAGGAGAGAGATCGAAGATTGATCAAAGCTCCTAGAGAGCGAGGGAGGGAGATGAGACCTAGTTTGCATGCGCTGTTGTTGATAGTGAGAGAGGAGAGGGCGGAGAGGCAGGAGAGAGTGGGCGGGAGTGTGCGGGTGTAGCGACCGGTGCAGAGAGAAAGGGCTTGCAGATTGGTGCAGGAGAGGAAGAGAGAGTCGAGACTGGATAGAGAACGGCACTTGGTGCGATCCTGGTTGGTACGGAGAGGGGAGGGAGGGAGGAAGGGAGGGAGGAAAGAAGAAAGTAAGTTCATTATCAGAACAGCAAAGACAGCCCAACACTGTCCCCGTACCTAAACACCACTCACACTCTGCATCATGCATCCCCACCATCATCCCCACCACTCATCCCCACTCCTCCTCCCCACCACTCATACCCACCACATCCCCCCAGCACCCATCCCCACCACTCACCATGCCATTGGGCTGCCCATCCACAGCCAGCTTCACCAGCCTCTCCCCACACGCCGCCAGCGCCAGCACCACATCATCGCCCTCCTCCTCCACCGCATCCCTCCCCAGCACCACACCCGCCAACCCCGGATACCTCCCCGGGTCAGCCAAACACGGCAGCAGGTCGGACGTATTAATGCGGGCCCCGGGGGGGAGTGCGAGGAGGGAGAGGGAGGAGCGGGTGAGGCGGGAGAGGCGGCGGCTGGCGAGGAGGCACGCGGCGATGTCGCTAGGGTGGGAGATGCGGGCGAGGATGAGGGCGAGGAGGGGATCTGGGAGGTCTGCGAGGTGCGTCTGGGGGAGTGTGGGCGAGGGGGAGGTGGAGGCGTGGTGGTGCTGGGATGGTGGTGCACCCGTGCTGTCTTTCTCACGCCAGTTCTTTCCTTCCTCGAAGAAATCCTTTTGAGAAGTCTCAAATGTGCCGTGCACCTCGCTAGAGGATCTCTCAGCCGCCCTCCACTTGAGAGTTAACAGCACTGGAGGCTCCTCCTCCTCCTCTTCCTCCTCCTCGTCTTCCTCCTCCTCCTCCTCCTCCTCATCCTCCTCTCCCTGCTCTCCCTCCTCTGTCTCTGTCTCCCCCCCTGTGCGACGGTAAGGCAGCATCCACCACTCGCACTCACCCCACGTGTTTCCACCTGCAGGCAGCAGGGACATGCAGGAGGGAGAAGAGGCCACACAAGGAGTGGGTGAGCAAAGGAGACAAGGGGAGTAGGTGACCGGAAGCGACAAGGATGGGAGTGAAGAGAAGGGACAGTGAGAGACAAGTCGTGTGGGAATGTGTGGGGGGGTTAGCGCTTTGGGTGTTTGGATACATGAGAGAAAGAGTACTACTGGTGCTTCGGGTCATGTGAGCAGGAAAATAATTGGTCTTCTTAGCTTGCTATCATGAATGAAGTAGCAACATGAGAAGGTGATTGGAATCTTGAGAAGTCTAGACAAGGAGGAGAGACAAGGGGAAAATGGGGAGAGAGGGGGCAAGGAGAGCTACGAAGAGCTAGGGAGAGAGAGCTAGGGAAAGATAGGGAGAGCTAAGAGGACAAGACCGTTTTTACGAGGGCGCTTGAGCAGGGAGGCAACCTGCAGCAGGCCAGCCAGAGTGCATCCCCGCTGCTGTCACCGCCGCCACTTCCGCCGCCGCTGCCTCTGCTGCTTCTGCAGTCGCTGCAGCCGCAGCGGCAGCGGCAGCAGCCGCGATGGGAGTGTGCGGGGTGAGTCGGAGCGGCAGGAGGAGGAGTGGGTGTGGTTGAGCAGGTCGGAGGTTCTGCAACGCTTCCAGAGGCACGTCGAAGTCGTCCTCTTCCTCTGCACCCCCCATTCCCGGCATCTCTGCCTCTTCACTCTCACTCCCCATTCGCAAGCTCCAGCTGCCGTCGCTCCCCGGGTTGCCTTCAGGTGTGCTGCCAGGAGTCCTGTCAGGTGTGCCGTCAGGTGATGTCTCAGGTGATGCGTGGGAGAAGGTGTCAAGTGATGTTTCAGATGGTCTTCCAGACGGCACAGATGCTTCCTTGGTGCTCGCTTCTGCCACTCTCCCCACCTCTCTCCCTGCAACTCCCCCACCTTCCCCGCACCTGTAAAACTCATCTCCAGTATCTCCCCTTGCTTTGAAATCGCTGCTGCTCTTGCTGCTGCTTGGCTTCGCTCTACTCCCTGCTCCTTCCTCGCCCTCCTCCTCCTCCCCCGCATCCACCATCCCCGGCATCATACCATCATCAGATTCACCCCCAATGTCTTCCTCCCTCTCCTCCTCCTCCTCCTCCTCCTCCTCTCCAACCTTTGTCTTCGCACCTTGCCTTCCTGCCTCCGCATCCCCCTCAACCCCCTCCTTCCCAGCCCACGCCCCTCTCTCTTGTTCCAGTTTCATCAACATTTCTCCCAGCCTCTCCACCTCCTCCTCTCCCTCCTCCTCCTCCTCTTCTTCCTCCTCCTCTCCCTCCTCCCCACCCTCCTCCTCCGCCTCATCACTCCCACTCCCATCACTCCCTCCTCCCCACTTCCCCCTCCCCTTTCCCACCAACCTCCATTTCCGTCCCTTCGAAGCAGCATTAAGGCTATCCAACCGCACCTCTCTCAACCTAGCCGCATCTGGGCCAGGTCTCAGCCCCAGCTGCCACAGCCCCTGCTCAGACCAGGGTTGCGCGGGGCAGGGGGGAGGGGGAGGGGTTGTGGCGCAGGGGGAAAGCGGCGGAAGGGGATGGGGGGGAGCAAGGAGCGCGGGCGGGCGTTGGGTGGAGAGTTGAGGCGGGATGGGGCTGGAAGAGGGATGGGAGAAGCGATCGGGGGAGGCCAAAGTGGGAGGGAAGGAGAGGGGTATGATACGAGGGGAGTTAGGCTCGCTTGTGACTTCTTGGCCTTTTAGTTGCTCCTCTTCCTCCTTTCCTTCCTCCTTCCTGCCATTTTCCTCTTCCGCCTTTCCCTTTCCTACCAAATCCTTACCCACCGTTGCTAAACCATCCTCACTGGCTGTGTACCTAGCTATCTGCTTCCACCCCACTTCCTCCTCCTTCCCTTCCTCCTCCTTTCCATCCTCCTCCTCTCCCTCCCCCTTCTCCTCTACCCTCACCCCGTCCCGCCACACCAGTCGAGCCCCACTCTTCCCCTCACCCTTAATAATCATCTCCGCCCCTACATCAGCCGCCCTCAATCTGCTTGTAGCACTGCACCCACCATCACTCGCCTCACTCCTCCCACTCCCTGCTCTCTCTGCGTCCAGGGATTCCCCCTCTGTGGTTTCCGTTCTGCTGCTGCTGCTGCCGCAGCTGCTGCTCTCATCGTCCTCTGCACCCTCCTCCAGGTGAGAGTACCACGCGAGCAGGTTAGTCACTATTCGCTCAGGAGCTTCGATGCTGTGAGGGGGGGGGGCGGAGGGGGGCGAGAAAAAGGGTGGGGGAGCGCGGGGAGTGGAGGAAGGCGGGGAAGGGGAACGGGGGAACAGGTTGGTCGATATTCACTTCGGCCCTTTGATGCTTTGAGCAGCTTGTTGTGTGGCCAGGGGAAGGGATGAATGTGGGGACGAATGAAGGGGGGGGTTGGGGAAGACACAAAGGGAGAAGGAGAAAATCGGCCAGGGGAGAAGGAGGGAATTCGTGGCAGGGAAGAAGGGGAAAAGGGAAAGGGTAAAGGGGCAAGAGGGCTAGGTTGGAGATGGGGAGGATGGATACAGTGACAGGGTGGTGATGAGATGAGAGTGCGTGAGAGTGCATGAGAGAGAATGAGATTGCATGTGAGTGCATGTGAGTGCATGAGAGAGAATGAGATTGCATGTGAGTGCATGTGAGTGCATGAGAGAGAATGAGAGTACGCATGGCATGACTTACTCTCTCTCTGCTGCTTGTGTCACCACATCTTCCAGTAGCTTCAGCTCCTGCTCTCCACACCCATGCACACACACAGACAGGCACAGGCACAGATACACGCATACACACATGCACACACACATGCACACACACACACACATGCCCGCGCGCCCGCATACATGCGCACCCAACCCAAGCAGTAACATGCATGCACATGCAACAACACTATTAGTGATGATCCAACCCAACAGCTTCCCAACGCAATCACACCGGACATCCTAAAACATGGCAACAACATTGCGCATTCTAGTGAGAGTTACCAACACTTTCACCGTGGAAGTTCCAGACTCCACACACTCGCGTGCCCTTTTCAAAAGTTCCGCATACGCGATTCTCGCACTGCACTCGCTCCTACACTAGCACCTCTTACCTCCAACCTTTCTGTATCACCCCTGGTGTCGCCCCTGCATCGCCTCTTCTTTGAGAACATTAAATCATGCCTGCTAGTCCAGCCCACTTATCTCGTCCTCCTTCTGCCCATTGTCCTTCTTACCTCTCATAAAATCCCTTTCCACCCCCCAGCCCCCATCCTCCCCTCGCCCTTCCTCCCATCCCGCTCTCTCCCCATCCCGCTCTCCCCACATCCCACACCCCCCCCATCCCACTTCCCCCCCCATCCCACTCCGCCCACATCCTACTCCCGCCCCATCCCACGTACCACAGTCTCTTCTGAAGACTCCTCCTCTGTGAGTGCGGGGCGCGAGCGGAAGAAGAAAAAGAAGCTCTCCTCCTCCTCCACTTGCGCCTGTGCCCCCAGCCCTCTTCCTTCACCTCCACCCTCTCCCCCACGCTCCTTGCCACCACCCACACCACTCCCCTTGCTAGCACCTCCTCCTAACCCATTTGCGTCTGCAGCAGCAGCAGCACCAGAGGAAGCAGAAGTGGCGTCTGCTGCTGCAGCCGTTGCTGCTGCCGGTTTGAACCACCCAAACCACCCGCCAGAACTAGCAGGGGCGGCAGCAGCAGCAGGTTCTGTGGCAGCGGGAGCAGTCGAAGCGGCAGCGGATGGAGCGGTGGCAGTGGCAGTGGTGGTGGTGGAGGAGGAGAGAGAAGGGGCGGAGGAGGAGGGGATGGAGCGAGAGGAGGGGAGGGGAGGTCTCTTGGTGACGTCTTTGCCTGGAAGCCAATGAATGGTGGAGCTGAGAAAGGGTTCGAGGGGAGGCGGGAGGGGAAGGAGATGGGGGGAAGGGGAGGGGGGGGGTTAGGTGGGTCGGGGTTAGTAGGGATTGGAAACATGAAAGCTGGTTTTCAGATGCCTCAGAAGACAGAAGGGGTGGAAAAGGAGGGCGAAGGGAGGAAGAATGGGAAGGAAGGCGAGTGTCAAATGGAGGGAGAGGGGTGCGGAAGGGGGAAAGTTGGAAGCTTGGGGAGAGGAGCAAGTGGAGTGGGAGAGGAAGTGGGTGGGTGATAGAGCATCAACAGATCGAAGAGGCAATAACTTGATCATATATTGGAATAGAAGTCCAGGTGGAGAATCAGGTGTGGGAGTGGGAGCGGGTGTGGGAGCGGAAGGGGGAGCGGGAGTGGGAGTGGGAAAGGGAGTGGGAGAGGGAGTGAGCGCAGGAGAGGGAGTGAGCGGGAGCGGGAGTGGGAGTGGGAGTGGGAGTGGGAGCGGGAGCGGGAGGGGGAGGGGGACGGGGAGGGGGAGTGGGCGTGGGAGTGAGAGTGGGAGTGGGAGGGGGAGCGGGAGCGGGAGCGGGAGGGGGAGTGGGTGAAGGGCCATGGTCCAGTCGGCTGGAGACTAACCCTTGGATGCTGGAGAAGAGCGGGTCACCGTAGCGAATCCTGTCCTTCACTATGTACGACTTGGTTAGCTGCACACATGCATGCATGCACGCACATGCACGCACATGCACACACACGCATCCACACATGCACGTGCACACATTCCCAAACACACACGCACAGACACAAACACACATGCACGTCAAACGCACAGAAATGCAAAGTCAGGAGAAGCGGGTGGATGGCTGTGTGACTTACCAATCAGAAAATTAGTCAGAGCATGCAGTTAAATCACCCAAGCCTTGAAAGATCTCAAGATTCAAGGGTCACAGATTACAAATCCATACCTACCAAGTCTACCTGCCTTGCCTACCATGGGTTACGTATCAGTGCAGCGGGCAAGTCTCACTCACCCTAATGTTGCCAAAGAAGGGATTGGCACGGAACAGAGGTGACTTTTGAGTCGACTCAAAAGTCACCTCGTTACAATGGCAGCGGGCAAGTCTCACTCACCCTGATGTTGCCAAAGAAGGGATTGGCACGGAACAGAAACTCCACCCGTGCTCCCTGTTGTGGTGTCAAGAGGGGATGATAGAGCGGATTATTCGGAGAGAGTGAGTGCCATGCCAGTTGATTAGTGCGTGAGCTTATGAGACGGGAGGAGTGGAATGGCGGAGAAGGGAATCACAGTGGCGATGGCAAAGGATGGGTAAGGACGGTGCAGGCGTGCACGGTACAGGACGGCACAGGACGGCACAGGACGGCACAGGACGGCACAGGACGGCACATTGAGGAACGAGAGCTGTAGTTGCGAATTGTCAAAGGAGTTGTGCGATGGCACAGGATGGCACACTAAGACGTTGGCATGGGTGGCGGAGTGGAGGGCGGCAGGCTGACCTTGGCACTGTTGGGGCAGTCGAGAATGCGAATGTCCTGAATGAATTGCAGCGGCCCCTCGTCCCGTGCCGTGATCTGTGGACAGGGGGGCAGGCAGCGATGGGAATGCGAGCAAGCGATGGGGACGAGTGGGAAGGGAAGAGAAGGGAATGGAAGGGGTTGAGGGACGGCACACGTGGCTGTTTGAAGGGAGTGTGCAAGCGTGCTTGTTTCTCCTATATTCATCTCAGAGAAGCTGCTACATTCCACCCACCTTGGGACCGATGAGTGGGTGCGACTAGAGGTAGTTGACCTTTGAGACGCCTTTTGAGGCGACTATCGCAACGTCTCAGAAGACTTCTTACATGCTGCTAACTTGTACCCACCTTGGGACCGATAAGCGGGTGCGACTTGAGGCAGTTGAGCCAGCGCCGTGGGTTGACCGGAGGTGCTGTTCGGCTGGGCGAGAGCGAGCGAGGCGTGGAGGAGGGCGAGGAGGAGAAGAAGCTGAGGCCGCTCCCTGCTGCGCCCGATGATGACCTTCCAGATGTCATCGCCACTGAGGGGCTGTTGCCTTCACTGCGACTCCTCGCACTGGACGCAGCAGTAGCGGCAGCGCCACCACCCGCAGCGGCAGCAGCCGCGGCGGCGGCGGCAGCAGCATTGACAGCAGCAGAGGCAGCGGTGGTGATGCGGGGCAGGTGCGGGAGGGAGAGCTGCGAGTGTAGTGCGGCGAGAGGAAGCGAGCTGAAGGAGGAGGAGGAAGTCAATGGGGGCTTGGAAAGACCACCGGCACCACCAGCAGCGGCAGCGGCAGCGGCAGCGGCAGCGGCAGCGGCAGCGGCAGCGGCATCGACGGTGGTGGCGGCAGAAGAGAGCGAGGGGGAGAACGAGGCAGATGCAATAGAAGGTGCTGGGAGTGGCGGGCGTGCCATGCGAGTGGAAGAGGCAGAGGAGAGGGAACCGCCCCTGCCCTCGTCTCCCTCCCCGGCCCCGCTCATTCCCACCCCTCTCGGACTCAATATCCTGCCTGACCTGGGACTAACCAGCGACCCACCAGCCCCTCCCCCTGCCCCGCCTGCCCCGCCTGCCCCGCCTGCCCCTCCTGCTCCTCCTGCCCCTCCTGCTGTCCCTGCTCCACGAGCCCTGGGGCTGGGAATGCTTGCTCTGGGGCTGGGAATGCCTGCGCGGCCTCCTATGCTTCTGCTGCGCCACGGCTTCATCCGCCCTCCCTGCGACCCCACTGGAGACACCTCCACGGACAGGCCCTGCTGGGACGATGGCGAGGGTAGTTCCACGGACGGGGGGGCTTGCTGGGATGATGATGATGGTGAGGGTACCTCCATTAAAAGGGCTTGTTCAGAAGGCGAGGGTAGATCTATTGATGCCGCGTGTTGGGACGGCGATGGCGCCTCCACCGATGCCAGTTGTTGGGAGGGCGAGGGCAGCTCGAAAGATGCTGCTGCTGCCTGGGAGGGCGACGCTGGCTGATGCACAGGAGACAGTCGCTCCGCTGGTGGGCTCTCTGTTGCTCTGAGTTCCTGTTCCAGCCGTCTCGTGCTTGCAGCCGTGCCTGCATCAGCACCGCTGGCACCGGTGCCTGCACCAGTGGTTGCTGCGGTGCACACGCCCTCACTCTCACGCCGCTCGTCCAGGGGCGAGGCGGAGGAAAAGACAAGCACACGGCCAGGAGGAGGGGGCAGAGCGGTCGTGTTTGACTTTTGAGTCGACTCAGAAGTCACCTCAGGCTGCTCCTCCAACGGCGAGGCGGGGGAGAAGACGAGTACACGGCCAGGGGGCGGGGGGAGAGGAGGGGTGTGAGGCGCCAGGCATGATGCTGACGAGGAGGAAGCGGCAGAGGAGGAGGATGAGGCAGTGGGGGGAGAGGGCGTGGAGAGGGAGGGGGAGAATGAGGAGAGAGGGGAAGGGGAGGCAGTGGAGGGGGAGGAGAAGATGCGTTTGTCCTGTATGTGAGGGGTGCACGGGGCATGTGCGGACACGGATGGGTCAGGCGAGGAGAAACCAGCTTCAGCAGGCGATGCTGGTACCACTCCTGCTGCTGCTGCTGCTGCTGCTGCTGCTGCTGCTGCTGCTGCTGCTGCTGCTGCTGCTGCTACTTCCTCTGCTCGTTCGCCTGCCTTGGATTCTGTGCCTCCCGTGCTCTCATCTGCCGTCTTCCCTCCATCATCCTTCTCAAAGTGGTCGTCCGTAGCCCCATCTCCATCCCCATCCCTATTCCCATCCCCACCCTCATCTCTATCCGCACCACGATCCCCATCGCCATACTCCACGTCAGCCTTCTCCCCCATCTCCTCGCCCTCCTTCACGCTCCCTCCCATCAGCCATCCCCTCTTTTCCGAAGGCAGGAAAAAGCCCTTGCCGGAGCCAAACGGCCTGTCAAGCTGGCGAGACTGGTGAGCGTGGTGAGAGTGGTGAGATGACACATCACCTGATCCTATTTTCTCAGAAGGTAACACGAAGAATTTGCCTGAGCCAAACGGGTCCATATCACTCCCACCACTGCGGTACCTTAGCAAGCCCCCGCTTCCCTTCTCCCACCACCGATTCCCCTCCTCCTCTTCCTCCTCCTCTTGCTCCTGCACCATCTCCTCCTGTGCTCCTATCATTGGTATCTGCTCTCTACTGTCCCCACCATTCAGTCTGTAGTCTTCTTTACATCCTGTTGCTGTAATAGGGCTGCCAGAAGCAGTGGCGGGAGTGGCAGTGGGAATGGCAGTAGCAGCGGTGGTGCCAGTAGCAGCAGCAGTGGTGGCAGTGTGGGCAGAAGGGCTAGCCTCGTCTGCTTTGTTGCTGCTGGTGCCAAAGAAGAGAGAGAAAGGGGAGAGCAGCGGAGAGAAGGGCGTGCTTGCAGCAGGCGCAGCAGGCGCAGACTCAGTGGAGGGAGGCGAGAGTGGTGTTGGCACTGTCACTGCTGCTATTGCAGCACCTGCTGCTCCTGGTGGTGGTGGTAACGCTGCTGCTGCTGCCGCTGCTCGTGCTGCTGCTCCCGGTGGTGCGGGTGCTGCTGCTGGTGCCGCGGACCGGGTTTGTACGACAGAAGGAGGCGAGGAGGATGAGGGCGAAGGGGAGAAGAAGGAATTAAAGGAAGGCAACACAGGAGGAGACGCCACAGATGATGTTGATGCTGCTGCTGCTGCTGATGATGATGATGATACAGCACCAGAGGAGCGCGCAGCCTCTCTTCCATCGTCCCCACCTTTCACATACCCCTCAACACTCACCGCCGCTTTCCGCTCCTTGTTCGTCTCCTCCCTCCCTCGCGCCTCCCATACCCCCACCACCACCTCTCTCTCCTCCTCTTTCTCCTCCTCCTCCACTATCACCACCTCCTTCACCACCACCACCTCCCCTTCATCCTCCTCCCCCCGTTCCTCCTGTAACCTCGTCTCCAAGCCAGCATCTTTCCCCTCCTCCTCTTCGTCCTCTGCCTCGTGTTCCCCCTCCCTTTCTTCCTCCGCATCCTCGCCCTTCTGTGCACCCTGAGACTCACCAAGTGCTCGTTTCTGCAGTCCCCGGCGCAGCCATTCAGCAGCCATCTCATCGTGAATGTCCCGCAGCACCTCCCAGTGAGGCTCCTCCACCTCTTCCTCCTCCTCCTCCTCCTCCTCATTCCCTTGTTCCGCTCTAGCCCTGCTCTGATTCCAGAACCGGGAGTAATCCGGACCTCCTGCTCCTCCTCCTGCTTCCACCCTTTCCTTCTCTATTTGTGAAGTCTCAAAACTCGGTGCTCCTGCTTCCACCCTCTCCCTCTCTCCCTCCCCCTCCACTTTCCTCGTTCCCTCCGCGTTCCGCTCCTCTCCCTGCACGTGCGCTGCTGCTGCTTCTCCCCCTCTCACTCCCACCACATCCCCTCGTGCCACACTCCCATCATGCCTCTCCGTCCCCTCCCTTCCTCTCCCCTCTCCACTCTCCCCATCTCCCTCCAGAATCTCCACCTCTTTACACCCGGAACCAGACTGCTGTAACAGCCTCATACCCCACCCGAATGAGCCCCCACTGCTGCTCCTTATCTCACCATCGCCTTCATCCCCACTGGCGCCAACCCCATGCGCCCCATGCCCATAAGCCCGCTCCCCCACTCCTGTTCCCCCCACGCTCCCTGCACTGTCCCCCACATCCCCCTCGCCCTCATCCCCACTGCTGCTGCGAATCAGCGCCTTGAGCCTCTGCCGCTCCTCCTCCTGATTCCTCCGCGTCCCCAGCCATCCCACTCTCGCCTTCCCTTGCCCCTGCTCCTCCTCCCTCCTTCCCTCCTCCCGTCCCCCTGCCGTTTTCTCCGCCCCAACCTCCACTCCACCCACGGCAGCAGCACCATCAAGATCAGCAGCAGGGGTAGCAGCCACAACAGCAGCAGCAGCAGCAGCAGCAGCAGCAGGAGGAGGAGGAGCAGCAGCAGTGGTACGAGACCAAGCCTTCCTGCCCTTACCCCCTCCCGCCAGTGCTGCCAGCGCCGCTGCTGCCACCCCCACTCTAGCCCTCCCGCCCCTGCCCGCCCCTGCTGCCCCTGCCCCTGCCCCTACCCCTGCTCCTGCCCCTGCCCCGTATTGAGCAGCATAACGAGAGGTATAGGTGGGTTGCACGGAGGTATAGGGCGGTTGAAGGGATGCCGAAGCAGCAGTGGCAGGTAGCGCCAGGAACGATGGGTCTTCCGGGTACGGAGGAGTGGAGAACGGTTCGGAGTGGTGGGAGTCGAGAGGGAGCGCGGAGGGAGAGGAGGAAGCAGGGTGAAGCGCGGATGGGGGAGGAGGAGAAGCAGCATGGAGGTCAGAGTCGGGAGAGCGAGATACGGTGGGCTCTCTCGTTGACAGCGCCGGCGGAGCAGGCAGGGCGGGCATGGAGGGCAGGGGAACAGAGGATGAAGAAGGCAGGTCAAACGGAATCGAAGCAGCGTGGTCGGGGGAGGTGTCAGGTGCGGGGAGAGGGGCGCGGGGAGAGAGCGGGGAGAGAGGGGGAGAAGGGCGCGCGGACAAGGAGGCGGGGGAGCGGGGGGAGCGGAGGGAGGCAGTGCGAGGGGAGCGGGAGGAAGGGGTGCCGGGGGGCTTGACAGGGGACAGGGGCGTGAACGAGGGGGGCAGGGGCGTGGCAGCAGCAGCATGTGGTTCGTTGTGCATGGCAGCACTTGGCACAGCAGAGTCGGCGGCAGCAGCAGCAGGCGAGTGATCATCATAACCAGAGCGGCAACCATTACCGCCATTACCACCACCGTCACCACTGTCATCACCATCACCAGGCGCATTATCACGCATCCCGGTAGCATGGGAAGCATCATCGCCCCCGCCCACACTCGCGTTGCCCTTGCGCCTCAGCGCGTCAACATTGATCCTGAACCGCGAGCGCGCAGAGACTACTGCCACTCCGTCTTCTCCCCTTCCCCTTCCCCCTGCCCCTCCTCCTCCCTCTTCCCCTCCCTCCCCCTCCCCTTCTCCGTTTCCTTCTCTCTCTCCATCCCTCTCTCCTGCCCCACTGTCAGCTCTTCCTCCCCTTCTTCTCACGCTCATCCCTCCTCCCCACTCCCTCCCTTCTCCAGCTTCCACTGCCGCTTCACTCTCTCCCTCATCCCGCTCCCCCTCTTCCCCACCCCTGTTACTCCCACTCTCACTCCCACTCTTCACCACACTCGCTCTCTCCTTCCCACTCCCCCTCTCACTCTCACTCACAGTACTACAGTAATCAACGTCCTTCTCCCCCCCATAGCTATTCCTTAATCGCCTCAGAAACAAACTATCTCCAACCACCCCTGCCCCATTCAGCGCACCTCTCCCCCCTCCAAACGCCCCTCCCATACCCACACCCAAATCTCCCACTCTCGCTCCAAACACCTCCCCATCCCCCCCATCCTTCCCCCCAACCGCAGCCGTCTCCCACCAGAACCGCTTTTCACTCCCCACCACCCCTCCATTCTCCCCACTCTCGCCACCCTCACCACCAGTTCCCCCATTATTCCCCGCATCCTCTGTGCGCCAGTTGTAGCTTCCCCCAGGGCCACCCCGGCTGCTCTCACTACCGTATACGCGGCTCAGGAAGCGACTGTGGTCCAGCCCAAACCCGTTCCGCTGCTGCTGCTGCTGCCGACTCTCTGTGCTCTTGTTGCTGCCGCCGCTTGGGGGAAACTCTGCCGCTGCTGCAGTTGCTGCTGCGGTGGCATCAGAGCTTGCGTCAGCGTCTGTGTCACCGCCGCTCCTTGCATGCTCGCTCCTGCTGCCAGCACCACTACCACCCCCACTGGCAGCAGCACCGCCACCAGCACCGCTGCTACGCTTGCTCATTGTGTCGTTCCGCCTGCCTGCCTTCTCCCCTCCTCCCTCCATCCCCTCCACCCCCTCCCCTTCCTCACTCTCACTCCCCATGTCCCCATCTCTAGACATATTCCGCCACCACCGCGCATCACTCCCCCCGCTCCCCCTACTTCCCCCCCTCCTCCTCCGCCCCCTTCTCCCCCCCAACCTCACACCAGCCCCTGTCACCCCCTCCTCCCCTTCCTCGTCCCAACTGCTCCCTCCCCCACCCCAACCAACACTACCATCAGCAGCAGCACCGTCACCAGTATTACCTACCCCAGCACCGCCTCTCCCATGCCTGCTGCCCCCCCCTCTTCTCTGCGCCCCCCTACCCTCCCCCACCGTGTCCTCATTGTCCCCCTCTTCCCCTCTCTTCCATCCCCTGTTCGCCTCCCCCCACCCCTCCGCGTTCCCCCTGCTTCTGCTGCGCCTGCCGCCAGGCGTGGTGGGCCCGCGGGAGCGGGGCGTGCGCGCACTGCCATGCGCGTGCGCAAGACTACGGGGAGTGCGGGGCGTTCTGGGTGTGTGCGGAGTGCGCGCCCGCGTTTGCCCCTCCGAGGTCTCATCCCCTTCCCCCGCACTTCTTTTCGCCTTTCTGCCCCCAAACTTGCGCTTTCCCCCCTCCGCATCCGTCCCTTCCCCTTGCGCCTTCCCCTCTTTCTCCACCTCGCGTTCGCTCTCCCCCGCGCCCTCTCCGCGCCTGCTGGAGCCACCAAGGCGGAACGAGCTGCGCCCACTCCGCTTGCGCCATGCTGCTGCCGCCGCCGCTGCTGCGCCCGCCGCCCCCCCCTGCCGCGAGCGGCCGGTGCCCGTGCTGGCATCGGAACCTGCATAGCGGGGAGGGCGCACGGGCGTACGGGAAGGGCGCGGGGGAAGAGCGCGCGCGGAAAGAGCGCAAAGGAAGAGCGCGGGGGACAGGGGGAGAGAGAGTTGGCAGGAGAGGCGGGAATGGGAGAGAGGGCCACGTGAGCTTTTGCAGTCACAATCAGGAAAAAGCAGCGAAAAGCGCACGTCAGGTTTAAGATATGGTCTAAGATTTAAAGCCGTAAGCACAGTCGCCTCTTTTCACCCCACTACGCTTCGTTGCACCCCCTCACCCTCAAATCAGACGTCACCTGAAGCCGTGGGAGACCGCCGCTCGTTACCGTCACGCGCGTCCCGCCCCCCCGTCTCCCTCCCGCGCTCCGCCCTCAGCACCGACGACGACTCCCGCGACGGGTCCACGTCATCGCCGTAATCGCCCCACGGCAATCTCGAGGGCGGCGCGCGGCCCCAATCCGCGACCGCGAGAACGTCCGCGTTAGCGTCAGAGGATAGACGACTCGGATTGCTGTCCCCGCCGATACCACCATCCGCGCCGCCTTCGTCCTCCTCCGCATCCTCCGCCTCGGCCGACGGAAACCAACGGCCGCCCTTTCCGGGCCCTCTCCGCGCCTGCTGCTGCTGCTTGCGCTTCTCGGGATCGCCGCCGTGCTCGTCCAACCAATCATCGTCGTCGAGGGTGATTCCCGTCGTGTTGAGTCCTGTGGCCGGCATGCATATGCAAGTCGGCATCGCGAACAGCCCTTTTCCGCGCTTCTTATTCTTCTTCTTCTTCGCTGCTCGTGCGCGCTTCTCCCGCTCATTTTGCGGCGAAAGCGGGGAGCTTTTCCCGCTATGCCGATCCCTCGCCTTACCCTCCTTACCGCCCTGCTCTCCCGCGTGTATGGACCCCAATAGACTACCCAGCCGCTTCCCCCAAGCGCCATTCCGTTTGGTCTGTCCGTCACCGTCAACGTCAACGTTTACGAGGGGGCTGCCGATAGCTTCGAGCTCCGTTTCCGTTCTCGGGGGATCATTCGACGTGGTCTTGGGAACTGATGCGGGTTTACTAGGCGCCTCGCCATCGTCTTGTAGCCTTCCTTTCCTCTTCCCCCATAGCATACTAGCCATACCATGAGGCCTTGAGCTGCCACCAAACGTAATCGACGTGGTCGGTAAGACAGGTAACTCACCTGCACTATCGACCCATTACTGCTATGCTATGTCCATGTCTGTCTAGTCTCCGTTAGCTGAACAATCAGCGCGCTGCTGTGCTTTGTGCTTGCAAACGAGGATTCTCACGGTCGTTTGTGTCTTGACGATGACCCAACCCAACTCGTCAACTTGACAGGAAAACGGCAGCGCAAGCGGTGACTGACGGTCCCTCTGACTGAGAGGGAGGGAGGTTTCAGGTGCCTCCTCACCTGCCGCTCCCAACCATGCTGCATTCTGCGGGCGGAGGGTGGACGTGTGTTTGATAAGCTTGTGTGTTGGCTTGATGAATTTGTTCGGGCAGAAGTTAAGCGGAAAAGCAGTGTGGTGGTTGGCTAGGGCAGCGAAATGGGGGCTCGTTCGACGAATGGGGAATGAAACGGCAGACAAAGAGGCACTTTTCATGAAGAAAAGCTTTGGAGTGTGGAAAAGCTCGGAGGATCAGTGGACGGACGAGCCGCGACAGAACGTGCCCCGTCCCTTCATTACAAGTCCATGTGATACTAACCCCATACATCTTGGTCAAGATGCTAAGGGACACCTAACTTAGGTACAGTGAATATGCTAAGCATGAGCAAACAAGGCCAATGGTGTGCAAACTCAATCGTCGAGGATTCACTTATTCTGTCAATGGTATTCTGTCAATGCTGATCATTAATACACTTATTTGATGTATTCACTCACATGCACACTTTTAACAGCTCATATCGCGAACATGATCATTGGTAGGTGGGGACCACGCCACCGTGTTTGCATGCTGACTCCAGAGTCTTGGGTCCAGGTCTCTAGCCCCTTCCATCGTTACAGTTCGTCCCTCTATTCTTTGCGTAACGACCGATGCTATTTTCGCCATGCACTCGTATCTCGCATGCTGCTCCTCGGAGAAACCATGCATGCTGCACCTCGTGTAGAATCGAACCTTCTGGGGTTCTGCGAACTTGTGCGAAAGTGGCTTGGGGCTTGCATCCACAACAGTTCAGCACAGAACAGGACTGCTGCATTTCAATGGCGGCTGTCGTCACGTTGCGCTCCGTCCCAACCAAAAGCCACCACCAAATGAGTTTGTTCTTGACAGACCTCTCTGTGCCCCATCCCACACACCACACCACTCCAGCCCCTGTTAGGTTAGAATTTGATCTGACACACGGACCCCACGAGTTCAATCTACGGTGACCATTTTGATTACACAGTCTAGTAGTCGTCACGTCACCCTTACCGATCGACTTACGCTCGAAAATCCGTAACATCCTTCACGCTCTGAAGGTTTTAGTGGCGTAAGTAAGCGAATAGAAGCGAAGCTGTTGGTGCGGTCTCGTTGGCCCGTGTATTTTTTCGGGTGCTCGATAGCTGGTGTGTACACCGTAGCAGCGAACCGTTGACAATCGCACTCATTCCGAAGAATTTGCAAATTTGAGGTCGGGAGTTTTTTTAGGTTTCCGCGCATCATCGGCTTACTAACCTTTACGTTTGACACCTCGATCCTTCCCTGCTCGCCGTCGGTCCATTTTCCTCTGTCGGGCGCCGTTTTTTCGCCATTACGCCAACCTTTCGCGAACACTTGTCGCCTCCCCGTCTCGTATTATCAGTGCAAAAATTCCACTGATAGTGATTTCTGGGGTTTCTTTCTTCTTTTTTTCTTTTAACAAAGATCAGTAGCAGTGGGACGAACCCACGATCCCCTTTTCCATGGCGGGTCAACAAGGAGGCAGCGGCTTACCTCCGACCTCGCCTCTCACCATTCCCATCCCGACCCCTCATCACGGCGGCTCTCCCTCCTTCACTAGCCCTTCCATTGATCCCAGCCTCGCGAATAATCATAATCTCTACCGCAGCGGGAGCGCCGCCGGGGGCTCGCCAGCCATGGCGGCTTCCCGCGCTCCGCCAGCTTCCGACGACGAGCAGTCGCTGCTAGCCGGAGCCAAGGAGATGGAGGCCGCCATATCCGCGTTATTGCACGACCCGGATTTAACAAAGCGTCAAGCCGCGAACGACTGGCTGAATACCTATTGCGGGCAGCCCGTGGTGTGGACCGTTGTCCTGTACTTAGCGTTCCCGCCGCCAGGAGCGGGCGTGGGCGGCGCGGCGGACGTTAGATTCTTCGCGCTGAACATCCTCCTAAATAAGATGCGGTCCGACTGGGGTCAGCTGTCGCCGGAAGATGCGGCGGAGATTTTCGAGACGCTGGTACGGCAACTGCCGGCCGCGCTGGCGCCGGGCATGGATCCCGTGGTGCGATCGCGGCTGTGCATCGTCATCGGCGCGGCTGCTGCTCTAGCGGGCCCCAACACGTGCTATGAGGTAGTCAATCGAAATCTTCGGTTCCAAGTCTTGCTATGAGCTGGATGATTTTTTCTGGGGGCCCAAGAGGTTCTATGAGGTAGGTTAAATCTTGGTAGGGAACAACTTTTTTTCTATCCCTGCTCCATACGCGTGAAGTCACCCCACCCTGACACCCACCCCCCCCCTCGCCCTCCCGCTCCCACCCCTCTTCTGCCATCGCCCCCTCTCGTCACCCCTTCGTTTTCGTGGCTTGTCTCTGAGCTCCCCTCCCGTCCCTCCCTCTCTTCCCCCTGGTTCTCTCGTGTTGCTTTTCCCCGCGTCCCTCCCCCCCCACCCTCCCCCCTCGCCGCGCGCTCACCCTTCCCCCGGCCTGCGCGCGCGGCAGCTGATGGAGGCGGTGGAGAGGCAGGCGGAGTATGGGGTGGCGGTAGAACTGCTCACAGCGCTGGCGGAAGAGGCACTGCTGCGCGCACGGGCGCACCCGAGAGAGGTAAGGGGAGTGGGGGGTTGGGAAGTGAGGGCTGAGAGTGTTGACATGGGGGGCCATGGTGATGGTGATGGTGAGGGTGAGGGTGAGGGTGAGGGTGAGGGTGAGGGTGAGGGTGGCTTTCTTGATGGTGGGTGATGTGATCGGGCGGTCATGGCAGGGGGGGCAGTGAAATTCGACAGCAAAAAGGCAAAAAGCCAAAAAAAAAAAAAAAAAAAATCATTCATCAGGGGACAGGAGGGGATAAAATTGAATAGAGAGCGCACTAGTTTAGGCATTGATCCTGGTGCTGTGACCATGGGCGCCTCACACTCTCCTCCTCCTCTCTGTGGATGGGAATGGAATGAGCATGGCAGGTGATGGAGTGTCTGCAGGACTGCTGTCCCAAGGTGATTCGTCTGCTGGAGCGCGCGCTCACGTCCTCTGTGGCGGACACCCTGCCCCCTGACACTATTTCCAAGAGCCTCACCTGCCTCGCCCGATGGTGCGCATGCCAACACTGCTGCTGCTGCTGCTGCTGCTGCTGCTGCTGCTGCTGCTGCTGCTGCTGCTGCTTCTGATGATGAACTTCACATACAAGCATGCGTACTCATGCATGCACTCATGGATGCGGTCACGCACACCATGCAACCATGCATACACTCACTCTTGCAACCATGCATGTACACAGTGCATGGATGAGCGTCCATGCTCTGGGCAAACGTGCTCCTGTTCCCACGCAACCCTGTCGCCACCGCAGTCCCCCCTCTTCTTCCCACTTCCTTCACTGCACTAGCACTGCCACCCGTTTCTCTCCTTCCACGCTTCCCACCCCACCCCACCATTCCCCGCTCCCAATCACAATCCCAATCCCCCGTATCCTCGCCCTCCCAGGAAGCAAGCGGGCTGACACTATCAGAGCTACATCGGGAGCACGTGCCTCTGCACCAGGCGCTTGATAATAAAAGTGTTTTGACGTCTCAAAACAGAGCTACATCGGGAGCACGTGCCTCTGCACCAGGCGCTTGATAATAAAAGTGTTTTGACGTCTCAAAACAGAGCTACATCGGGAGCACGTGCCTCTGCACCAGGCGCTGCTGCTGGCGCTGACGTTGATTTGAGAGTCCATCCAATCCCCCACCCTCTCCTCTCCACCCCCAATCCCCTCTCTCCTCGCCCTCCCAGGAAGCAAGCCGGGCTGACACTATCAGAGCTACATCGGGAGCACGCGCCCCTGCACCAGGCGCTGCTGCTGGCGCTGGCATCGCAGCACAGTGCGGTGCAGGAGGCAGCAGTGGGCGTGCTATCAGAGCTGCTGCTGGAGGTGGATATACTGCCCGGCAGGGACGAGGCTGTCAAGGCCACCATCCAGGGTACGTTGTGATGCCACAGCATGCAGTGCAGTGCACAGACGGGCCGTGCGGCACGGTGCGGTGCAGGAGGCAGCAGTGGGAGTGCTGTCGGAACTGCTGTTGGAGGTGGATATACTCCCCGGCAGGGACGAGGCTGTGAAAGCCACCATCCAGGGTGAGAGGAAGGGAGGAGGGTGAGGTGAGGATGAGAGAGGGCAGGGTGAGAGAAGGCAGGGTGAGAGAGTGGACGGGAACAGAGGGTGAGAGAGAGGATACAAGCATCCGCCTACCTCCACCATATCCTCTCTCCCCCATCCCCTGCCCCCTTACCAGGTCTTCTCGCTCTAAGGGGCGGCCCCCACGACAGCACAGACAGCCCGATAGTCCCCCTGGTAGCGGCAATCGGGACGTCAGAAGCAGGGCTGCTGTGGAGTGGCGGCGACATGGAGATGCGGCTCCTGCAGAGGCTCGTGCAGCTCGCCACGGGAGGCACATCCGGGGGAACGAGTTTTGAGACGTAATCAAATCTCATGCCACTGCTCTCTTTTCCATTCCCCCCCTCCTCCCATTCCTCCCTCCCTCTTCCCCACCACTCCGACAGGGCTACTCGCTCTAAGGGGCGGCCCGCACGACAGCACAGACAGCCCGATAGTCCCGCTAGTAGCGGCAATCGGGACGTCAGAAGCAGGGCTGCTGTCAAGTGGCGGCGACATGGAGATGCGCCTCCTGCAGTGGCTCGTGCAGCTCACCACAGGAGGCACATCCGGGGGAGGCACCACTGCTGCTGCGAAAGCTGCCGCGGGTGCTGCTGGTGGCGCGGCGGCGGGTGGAGGAGGAGGAGCAGGTGAAGGGGGTGGGGGGGGAGCGGGGGAGGAGGAGGAGAGGGTGATGGACACGGCAGCGATGGCTGCTGAGGTGTGGCCCAAGGTGGCTAAAGTGCCTAAGAAAAGGAGAGCTCCTGCGCTGCAATCAGGAGAGCTCTTTTCGGCTGTGCTGCAGGTGAGCGTGAGTGTGCAATCAGTGGCAATAGTAACAGCATATTTCAACGTCTCAGAACCCGAGGTGTGGCCCAAGGTGGCCAAGGTGCCCAGGAAGAGGAGAGCTCCTGCGCTGCAATCAGGGGAGCTCTTCTCAGCCGTGCTGCAGGTGAGCGTGTAGCCAAGCAGCAGCTTCAGCGGCAGCAGCGGCGGCAGCGGCAGCGGCAGCGGAACGTTTTTCCACCCTCCCTGCCACGACCAACCAACCCACTCTTGCTGTGGAAAGTCTCAGAAATTTTGGAAGGCCCAACCATTAATGTGCCCTCTCTGCCCTTCCGTCTTCCCTTATTTTCCGTCTCTGTGCTCCCGCTCTTGCATCACCCTCCCGTCTCTCCCCACGTCTTTCCGTTTCACTGCCTGCAATACCCTGTCTCAACCCTGCCTGCCGCTCTCCCTCTCCCCTGCCTCTCGCTCTCCCCGCCACTTTCCCATGTGTGCCCGGCATGGCAGGCGGTGCTGTCAGCGAGCACGTACCCACGCACGTCTCTGGACGACATCGGTGTTGACCCAGACGACTTCCTGCGGTGAGTGGCACTCCCACACCCCACACTCCCACACTCCCTCACTCCCTCACTCCCACACTCCCACACTCCCTCACTCCCTCACTCCCACACTCCCACACTCCCACACTCCCACACTCCCACACTCCCCCACTCCCTCACTCCCATTCTCCCACACTCCTACACTCCCACACTCCCGCACTTCCTCACTCCCATACTCCCACACTCCCACACTCCCACACTCCCACACTCCCTCACTCCCACACTCCCACACTCCCTCACTCCCACACACCCACACTCCCCCACTCCCTCACTCCCATACTCCCACACTCCCGCACTTCCTCACTCCCATGCTCCCACACTCCCACACTCCCACACTCCCTCACTCCCTCAATCCCTCACTCCCATACTCCTACACTCCCTCACTCCCACACTCCCCCACTCCCTCACTCCCACACTCCCGCACCCCCTCACTCCCACACTCCCTCACTCCCACACTCCCTCGCTCCCTCTCTCCCTCACTCCCGCAAGTCTCCATGCTGCTGCGAAGCAGCGGAGGCATGAGAGGCGTGCTTTGTAGAGCAGGGAGCACTGCCTCTGGGCCACGTCTCACTGTTCCCTCTGCTCTACTCCTCCTCCTTCCCACCCTACCTTTCCCCCCTCGATCCCCCGCCGTCCCACGCCCCACAGGTATCGGGAAGGGCCAGCAGCAGAGGCGTTAGAGGCGTGCTATCTGGAGCTGGGAGCGGTGTTCCTCGACCATGTGTCCATGCTGCTGCGCTCCGCTGCGTCCTGGCAAGCAGCAGAGGTCGCACTCTTTGCTGCTGGCGCCGCCAGTGGCGCGATCTTGGACCGGGCGGGGGTGGGGAAGCAGGGAACGGGAGGGGGAGGAGGGAGGGGAGGGGAGGAAGGGGTGTCGGAGAGTGAGACGAACGCTGCTCGTGTGTTTCTGTCGTCGCTGTTTGCTTCCTTGCCGGGCTCGGCTGCTGTTATTGCCAAAGGTACATATGTAGTGAATTTTGTATGTATGTTAATGCTGGACACGTGCTACTTTTGAGAATTCTCAAAAGTTGCACTCATCTGTATGAGTGGTAATGCTGGACACGTGCTTGCACATGAGCCTTGTTGTTCTTCAGGCACCGTAGTACCTGCTCCTTTGGAGCGGTCTTTTTTTCCTCCCTATACCCATCGCCCCTCCCCTCATTCCCCTCTCATCCCGCTCGTCCCCGTCCCCCCTGCCTCTCACCAGACTCCGCCAACATACACCCAGCAGCATTGGTAGCAACGGCAATGCACACAGTGGCGGCCTTTGCACCCTTCTGCGCGCACCACCCGCCTGCCCTCTCATCTCCTCCCACCCATCCTTATCCCACTCTCTTCCCCCCTGCCCCTCACCAGACTCTGCCAACATTCCCCCAGCAGCGCTGGTGGCAACGGCAATGCACACAGTGGCAGCTTTTGCACCCTTCTGCGCGCACCACCCACCTGCCCTCGAGGCCGGGGTGCTCTATGCTGTCGCCGCCCTCCACATACCCAACGGTACACTCCCCGCTTGCCTTCTCCACCTAGCCTCAGTCATGCATGTTGTTAGGCAGGCACACACTATCGTGTTGGCATGGCAATCTGGCAGCATGGTGTCAGCACAGTGACTCTCTTCCCGCCCTCTCTGATCTCACCTCGTCTCCCCTCTTCTGCTCTCCCTACCCTTTTTTCACACCCAACCCAACCAACCGCAGCCAGAGGTCTGTAAGTGACTCGAAAATCCTCTTGGGACTGCCGTCTCGTGTCACCTCAAGCATTCTGACCCCTTCCACCCACCCGCCCCTCACCCCCTCATCCCCTCACCCCCTCACCCCTTCTCCTCACCCATGTTAACCAGCCACGGGGAAGGCGGCAGTGGCGCTGCAAAGCCTGTGCGATGCAGCGGCGCCCAACCTGGCAGCAGCGCGCGTGCTGGCGCCACTCATGCAGTCCTGCGAAGAGGCCCTCGCTGCCGCCGCTGCAGCAGCCACACGGGTCTGCACAAGCACTCTTCTCCCTCCCATCTCCTCACTCTCCTCTGTCTGCCCCCTCACCCCCCGTCCCCTCACCCGCTTTCTGTGTTTCCCTTTTCCCCCTCTTCCCCCTCTTTTCCCTCTTCCCCCACCTCCCTCTCACCCTACCCATGCAGCCACGGGAAAAGCAGCAGCGGCGCTGCAAAGCCTGTGCGATGCAGCGGCGCCCAACCTGGCAGCAGCGCGCGTGCTGGCGCCACTCATGCAGTCCTGCGAAGAGGCCCTCGCTGCCGCCGCTGCAGCAGCCACACGGGTCTGCACAAGCACTCTTCTCCCTCCCATCTCCTCACTCTCCTCTGTCTGCCCCCTCACCCCCCGTCCCCTCACCCGCTTTCTGTGTTTCCCTTTTCCCCCTCTTCCCCCTCTTTTCCCTCTTCCCCCACCTCCCTCTCACCCTACCCATGCAGCCACGGGAAAAGCAGCAGCGGCGCTGCAAAGCCTGTGCGATGCAGCGGCGCCCAACCTGGCAGCAGCGCGCGTGCTGGCGCCACTCATGCAGTCCTGCGAGGAGGCCCTCGCTGCCGCCGCTGCAGCGCGGGGCGGGGCGGGCATGGACGTGGGCGACAGAGTGGCAGTGGTGGCGGGATTGGCGGCAGTGGCAGCGATGATGCCACAACAGGAGGCCCAGCCTGCCCTGGCGAGGCTTGCGGCACCTGCGGTGAATACTGTGCAGCAGCTCGCGCCCATGCAGGTGAGTTGGTGCTGCGAGGAGGAGGCGTGATGAGAGTAGGAGCGGGCATGGACGTGGGCGACAGAGTGGCAGTGGTGGTGGGGCTGGCGGCTGTTGCAGCGATGATGCCGCAGGGGGAGGCGCAGCCTGCTCTGGCAAGGCTGGCTGCGCCGGCGCTGAACACGGTGCAGCAGCTGGCACCCATGCAGGTGAGTTAGTCATTATCGTACTCGTCTCAGCCTGCTTCGGCGTGGCTGGCTGCTGCCCCTGCGCTGAACATGCTGCTAGCTTCTCGTGTCAACCTCATCTCATCCCGGTCCCTCCCGTTTCCTTTCCACCCCTGCTGTCCTCCGCCCTGTCCATCCATCTCCTATCAGGACTGTTGAGGCGCCTCAAATCCCGGTCCCTCCCGTTTCCGCCCCTGCTGCTGTCCGCCGCCCTGTCCATGCATCTCCTATCAGGACGCCTCGCCCTACTCGCAAGCGCTGCTCTCTGCAGACCTGAGGGTGATCGCAGCCATTGTGCCCACCGTGGGGGACAAGCTCCATGCCGCTGCTCTCTCTTCCTCGGACGCAAGCGCAGCAGGCTCCACACTCCGAATCCAAACCCCATCCCCTCCGCTTCCCCCCTTGCTGATGCGTTCCCTTCCCCTCACACTCCGTCCCTCTGTCACTCTCTCTCCCTCTCGCCCCCTCCCCCTCCATCTCCTATCAGGACGCCTCGCCCTACTCGCAAGCGCTGCTCTCTGCAGACCTGAGAGTGATCGCAGCCATTGTGTCCACCGTGGGGGACAAGCTCCATGCCGCTGCTCTCGCCTCCGCTGAATCAAGCGCAGCAGGCTCTGCCGCCGTCGCCACTGGTGTGTCGAGTCCTGGTGGGTCACCCGCAGCAGCGGGAGGCGCAGCAGCAGGAGCAGCAGGAGGAGGAGCAGGAGGGAGCGGGGGAGCGGAGGCGCTGCTGCTGCCGCTGCTGCAGGGCGCATGGCCGTCATTTGACCTGGTGGCAGCGCGGTGGGCGGACGATGCAGTGGTGGGGGCAGCGCTGTGTGGGCTATGGGGGGCCACGGCACGGGCTGTTGGAGGGCAGCTAGCACCGGTGCTGCCGCAGGTGATCGGCGCTGCTGGGGGGATGTTTCAACGCCACCTGCATGCCGCTTGCCTCAAGTGCCTTGCTGATGTGAGTGCATTGCATTTCTTTAGGCGCCTCAGAAGCCGCAGGTGATCGGTGCTGCCGCAGGTTATCGGTGCTGCTGCAGGTTATCGGTGCTGCTGGGGGGATGTTTCAACGCCACCTGCACGCCGCTTGCCTCAAGTGCCTTGCTGATGTGAGTGCGACACCCAGATCTTGTGCGTGTGTGGTGCATGCGTGCATGCATGCAATCAGACCCCAGAATTCCCAAGTGCTTCTATCGTCTGTGCATTTCCCTCCCCCCAATCACCCAACCCCACAAAATGGTGACGAACAACTCCTCAGATCCCCTCCCAGAATACTCCAAGTGGTGTCCACTCCACTCCTCCTGAAAACGCACCCCCGCTCTTCCCATCCTCCCGCATGTGTGGCTCATCAGATCATGTCCATGCTGCAGGTGGGAGCCCATGCCACGACCATCCCCTGAAATGCCCATGCCTCAGTCCTCCACGCACCCCCCCCCCTCCCCCCCTCCCCCACTCGTTCCCCCTTCCTCCTCTTTTCCCCGCCCTTTCCGCCCGCGGTGGCCCATCAGATACTGTTGCTGCCGCGAGTGGGAGCACGGGCATCACCCGAGGTGGCTCGGATTCAGCCACACCCCCGCCCCCTTCATTCCCCCTTGTTCCTCTGTCTCCCCCCTTCCCCTCCCCGCCTCAGATCGTGTCGATGCCGCGGGTGGGAGCGCGGGCATCACCCGAGGTGCAAGCGAGCCTGGCGGGCATTCCAGACAAGCTCGCGGCAGCACTGACCGTTCTCCAAGAAACCATCACCCGCACAGACAAAGGCACCAAGTCCCTGCACAGACATTCCAGACCAGAAGGGCAGCCGGGGCAGGGGCAGCAGGGGCAAGGGCAAGGGGGGCAGCAGGGGCAAGGGCAAGGGCAGGGGCAGGGGCGGTTGTCGCAGCAGGAGCAGGAGCAGCACGCGCGTGCGCTGGAGACGCTGCAGGCGTTGTGGGATGTGGCGCGGGCGTTTGTGGCGCATGCGCCCGAGCTGCTGCTGCCCTCCCCCACGTTCCTCCTGCTCTCCCAAAGCGCCGTCGGTGCGTGCTAACTCGCTCGCACGCACGTGCACTCACTTCTCGCTCCGCTGCTCGCTCTGCTTCCCCTCACTCCACTCCACTCTCCTCTTTCTCATGCTTGCGCCACTCTTAAGAATTCTCAGAATAAGTACAACCTGTGTTGTCTCCCTCTTGGCCGTCTCCCTCTTTCATCCTGCCTGCTGTCTCTCTCGCCCATCCAGGCCTCTCCGCCAAAGTGAAAGCTAAAACCCATCCATTCTCCCTCGTCCATACAACCCTTTCACCCTAAACCCTGGTTACAAACATTCTCGTACGCAATGGAGGTGGCATCAGGCAGCAGCACCGTAATTCTCACCTCCCTCCTCCCGCCGACCGTACTCTTCCCCTCCTTCCCCCCTTCTCCCCACCCCTGCAGCGTGCATATCATGGGCGGATTCAGAGGCAGTGGAGGCAGCAGCGGCGTTCCTAGCGGAGACGATAGTGGGGCAGTCGCTGCTGCACGTGCGCCAGATGGCGCCAGAGGCGCTCGCCCTCGCTGCCACACTGCCAGGCTCGTGGGTCGTGCCGCCCGGGCTCAGAGGCGCAGTGGATGAGATGAGCCGGCAGCTAGGAGGGGCCATTGTGCAGGTACGCTGCCGCTGGTGCTGCTGTTTTCACAAGGTATGCCGCTGCTGCTTCTGCGTCGACTTAAAACCCAGGGTCGTGGCTCGTGGGTCGTGCCGCCCGGGCTCAGGGGTGCTGTGGATGACATGTTCCGGCAGCTAGGAAGGGCCATTGCGCAGGTACGCTTCTGCTGCTTCTGTGTTTTTTTTCTCAAAAGGTACGCTGCTGCTGCTGCTGCTGCTGTTCTCAAAAGGTATGCTGCCGCTGCTTCTGAGAAATCTTTGTTTCCTCTGCCGTCCCCGAAACCCACCCCCCCCCCACCCCTCAACCCCTAACCCAACCACTTCCCATCCTTAGCACCCATTTCCGCTGCTTTCCCAGTCCTCCCTCCCGTCACCCCTCCCTTCTGTCCCTGCACCTGCCTCCGCCTCCCTACCCACTCTCCCCTCACCCACACACCTTCCCACCCTCCGCTCCTCACCTTCCCATCCCCTCTGCCAGGAGGTGCTATCAGCGGTGGCCAAGGGGGCAGTGGGGCACGAGGCAGAGGCAGCCTTGGCAGACGTGCTCAATGCACTCTGCTGCACGCACCCCCGCGAGTGTGAGGCTGCCATCATCGCCACTCTCTCCGGGCCCGCCTCGCCCTGCCGCCGCGCCGAGCTCTCTCCCCGGCATATCGAGCTCTTTGTTGCAGCAGCCACACGCCAGCCGCCTCACCCCCGCCGCCGGTTCCACTGTAAGAGGCTCCACTGTAGCATCGGGCCGAGCATTGAGCTGTTTTAGGCCCATAATTTTTTTAAAATGGAGTGTTGTTTCTAGTCTTGTGAGAACCTGCTTGGGTGAATTCCTCTCGCTCCCTCATCTTGGTTTTCCTTTCGGGTTTTCTTCTCTTCTCTTTTCTTTTCTTCCATGTGTGCTCGATCGGCCTTTGCTTGCTCACCCTTTCCTTGTCGCAGGCCTGATGTCTGATTTTGGCAAAGTGACGAGTGCGCTTATGCCACCCGAGGCTTTTGAAGGTTACTGAATGGAGGCTCTCATCAGCGCGATGTCAGGCCCGCTGTTAGGTAAATCCAAGGACCATAATGGCTCGCCACTCACGTAGTATAGTTTTCCACCAGATGGTTGCTGGTGTGGTTTGGCACAGCAGCATATGCGGTGACAAAAATTGCTAAGATAACTTTGTGGCCTTGGTTGGAACAGCAAGCAAGGGTTCTTTTGCTTGCGTCTGCACTTGATGGATACAGGTACATGTGTTGTTGGATGGCAGGAATAAATCACATGAATTTCTGAGTTGTTTCGACTAAGAGAAGTTTCAGAGCGGCATCTACCGTATATCATCACATTGTTTCCCTCTAAAATACTACGTGACGCTTCAGCTGTTGGTTTGTACAGCTGGATGCATGCTGCAGTGCAGTTGGTTGGAACAGCAAACAACAAAACCCTTCGTATGTATGTATAGGTATTCAATGTGATTGAAGTTTCAATGCGAACATATACAGCCAGTTCAAATGCACTTCTGTGAATGAATCTAAATCGAGTACAGAAGATGCAGGGATTGCGTTTCTGTCGTGAACAGAAACTGATACGTGGAAGCATTTCGCACATCTGTCCCCCTTGCAACCACCACCTTCAAATCTCCTGTGAGGCAAACAGTTCGCAGGCAACCCGCAGGTACCAACCTCCGAGAGCTGGATCAGAGTAAGAAAACTCGTCCGACAGAACAAGCTAAAATACTCATTCACTCGCGTTAGAATCCGACCATCGCACACCAGCTAGGTTTTAGAGTGAGCACTTTTTCAGACAACCGGAATTAGTAGGTGCAGCTTGTATACGCAATCGAAGCACGTAGAAATTAGCGCTTTGCCTACCTCGCGACCCTCGCCCATGCTTTCTCCGCCCACCGCCCTCGCCCCGCCCGTCGCCCTCGCCGCCTCGCCGCCCGTCGACCTCGGTTCCCTCGCCCATCGCTCCCGCTTCCCCCGCCCGTCGCTCTCGCTTTCCCCGCCTACACCCTCGCCTCGCCTGTCGGCCTCGCCGCTTCCCCGCCCGTCGCCCTCGCTTCCGCCCGTCGCCCTCCCTTCCGCCCGTCACCCTCCCTTCCGCCCGTCGCCCTCCCTTCCGCCCGCCGCCCTTCCTTCCTGCTTCCCCCCGTCCCCTTCCTGCTTCCCCCCGTCCCCTTCCTGCTTCCCCCCGTCCCCTTCCTGCTTCCCCCCGTCCCCTTCCTGCTTCCCCGTCCCCTTCCTGCTTCCCCCCGTCCCCTTCCTGCTTCCCCCCGTCCCCTTCCTGCTTCCCCCCGTCCCCTTCCTGCTTCCCCCCGTCCCCTTCCTGCTTCCCCCCGTCCCCTTCCTGCTTCCCCCCGTCCCCTTCCTGCTTCCCCCGTCCCCTTCCTGCTTCCCCCCGTCCCTTCCTGCTTCCCCCCGTCCCCTTCCTGCTTCCCCCCGTCCCCTTCCTGCTTCCCCCCGTCCCCTTCCTGCTATCCCCCCGTCCCCTTCCTGCTTCCCCCCGTCCCCTTCCTGCTTCCCCCGTCCCTTCCTGCTTCCCCCGTCCCCTTCCTGCTTCCCCCCGTCCCCTTCCTGCTTCCCCCCGTCCCCTTCCTGCTTCCCCCCGTCCCCTTCCTGCTTCCCCCCGTCCCCTTCCTGCTTCCCCCCGTCCCCTTCCTGCTTCCCCCCGTCCCCTTCCTGCTTCCCCCCGTCCCCTTCCTGCTTCCCCCCGTCCCCTTCCTGCTTCCCCCGTCCCTTCCTGCTTCCCCCGTCCCCTTCCTGCTTCCCCCCGTCCCCTTCCTGCTTCCCCCCGTCCCCTTCCTGCTTCCCCCCGTCCCCTTCCTGCTTCCCCCCGTCCCCTTCCTGCTTCCCCCCGTCCCCTTCCTGCTTCCCCCCGTCCCCTTCCTGCTTCCCCCCGTCCCCTTCCTGCTTCCCCCCGTCCCCTTCCTGCTTCCCCCCGTCCCCTTCCTGCTTCCCCCCGTCCCCTTCCTGCTTCCCCCCGTCCCCTTCCTGCTTCCCCCCGTCCCCTTCCTGCTTCCCCCCGTCCCCTTCCTGCTTCCCCCCGTCCCCTTCCTGCTTCCCCCCGTCCCCTTCCTGCTTCCCCCCGTCCCCTTCCTGCTTCCCCCCGTCCCCTTCCTGCTTCCCCCCGTCCCTTCCTGCTTCCCCCCGTCCCCTTCCTGCTTCCCCCCGTCCCCTTCCTGCTTCCCCCCGTCCCCTTCCTGCTTCCCCCCGTCCCCTTCCTGCTTCCCCCCGTCCCCTTCCTGCTTCCCCCCGTCCCCTTCCTGCTTCCCCCCGTCCCCTTCCTGCTTCCCCCCGTCCCCTTCCTGCTTCCCCCCGTCCCCTTCCTGCTTCCCCCCGTCCCCTTCCTGCTTCCCCCCGTCCCCTTCCTGCTTCCCCCCCGTCCCCTTCCTGCTTCCCCCCGTCCCCTTCCTGCTTCCCCCCGTCCCCTTCCTGCTTCCCCCCGTCCCCTTCCTGCTTCCCCCCGTCCCCTTCCTGCTTCCCCCCGTCCCCTTCCTGCTTCCCCCCGTCCCCTTCCTGCTTCCCCCCGTCCCCTTCCTGCTTCCCCCCGTCCCCTTCCTGCTTCCCCCCGTCCCCTTCCTGCTTCCCCCCGTCCCCTTCCTGCTTCCCCCCGTCCCCTTCCTGCTTCCCCCCGTCCCCTTCCTGCTTCCCCCCGTCCCCTTCCTGCTTCCCCCCGTCCCCTTCCTGCTTCCCCCCGTCCCCTTCCTGCTTCCCCCCGTCCCCTTCCTGCTTCCCCCCGTCCCCTTCCTGCTTCCCCCCGTCCCCTTCCTGCTTCCCCCCGTCCCTTCCTGCTTCCCCCCGTCCCCTTCCTGCTTCCCCCCGTCCCCTTCCTGCTTCCCCCCGTCCCCTTCCTGCTTCCCCCCGTCCCTTCCTGCTTCCCCCCGTCCCCTTCCTGCTTCCCCCCGTCCCCTTCCTGCTTCCCCCGTCCCCTTCCTGCTTCCCCCCGTCCCCTTCCTGCTTCCCCCCGTCCCCTTCCTGCTTCCCCCCGTCCCCTTCCTGCTTCCCCCCGTCCCCTTCCTGCTTCCCCCCGTCCCCTTCCTGCTTCCCCCCGTCCCCTTCCTGCTTCCCCCCGTCCCCTTCCTGCTTCCCCCCGTCCCCTTCCTGCTTCCCCCCGTCCCCTTCCTGCTTCCCCCCGTCCCCTTCCTGCTTCCCCCCGTCCCCTTCCTGCTTCCCCCCGTCCCCTTCCTGCTTCCCCCCGTCCCCTTCCTGCTTCCCCCCGTCCCCTTCCTGCTTCCCCCCGTCCCCTTCCTGCTTCCCCCCGTCCCCTTCCTGCTTCCCCCCGTCCCCTTCCTGCTTCCCCCCGTCCCCTTCCTGCTTCCCCCCGTCCCCTTCCTGCTTCCCCCCGTCCCCTTCCTGCTTCCCCCCGTCCCCTTCCTGCTTCCCCCCCGTCCCCTTCCTGCTTCCCCCGTCCCCTTCCTGCTTCCCCCCGTCCCCTTCCTGCTTCCCCCCGTCCCCTTCCTGCTTCCTCCCCCCGTCCCCTTCCTGCTTCCCCCGTCCCCTTCCTGCTTCCCCCCCGTCCCCTTCCTGCTTCCCCCCGTCCCCTTCCTGCTTCCCCCTTCCCCTTCCTGACTATCCCCCGTCCACCTTCCTGCTTCCCCCCGTCCCGCTTCCTGCTTCCCCCCGTCCCCTTCCTGCTTCCCCCCGTCCCCTTCCTGCTTCCCCCCGTCCCCTTCCTGCTTCCCCCGTCCCCTTCCTGCTTCCCCCCGTCCCCTTCCTGCTTCCCCCCCGTCCCCCTTCCTGCTTCCCCCCGTCCCCTTCCTGCTTCCCCCGTCCCCTTCCTGCTTCCCCCCGTCCCCTTCCTGCTTCCCCCCCGTCCCCTTCCTGCTTCCCCCCGTCCCCTTCCTGCTTCCCCCCCGTCCCCTTCCTGCTTCCCCCCCGTCCCCTTCCTGCTTCCCCCCGTCCCCTTCCTGCTTCCCCCCGTCCCCTTCCTGCTTCCCCCCCGTCCCCTTCCTGCTTCCCCCGTCCCCTTCCTGCTTCCCCCCATCCCCTTCCTGCTTCCCCCCATCCCCTTCCTGCTTCCCCCCATCCCCTTCCTGCTTCCCCCCGTCCCCTTCCTGCTTCCCCCCGTCCCCTTCCTGCTTCCCCCCGTCCCCTTCCTGCTTCCCCCCGTCCCTTCCTGCTTCCCCCCGTCCCCTTCCTGCTTCCCCCCGTCCCCTCCCTGCTTCCCCCCGTCCCCTCCCCTGCTTCCCCCCGTCCCCTCCCCTGCTTCCTCCCGTCCCCTCCCTGCTTCCCCCGTCCCCTTCCGTGCTTCCTCCCGTCCCCTCCCCTGCTTCCCCCCATCCCCTTCCGCGCTTCCTCCCGTCCCCTCCCCTGCTTCCCCCCATCCCCTCCCCTGCTTCCTCCCGTCCCCTCCCCTGCTTCCCCCCATCCCCTTCCGTGCTTCCTCCCGTCCCCTCCCCTGCTTCCCCCCGTCCCCTTCCGTGCTTCCTCCCGTCCCCTCCCCTGCTTCCCCCCATCCCCTTCCGCGCTTCCTCCCGTCCCCTCCCCTGCTTCCCCCCATCCCCTCCCCTGCTTCCTCCCGTCCCCTCCCCTGCTTCCCCCCATCCCCTTCCGTGCTTCCTCCCGTCCCCTCCCCTGCTTCCCCCCATCCCCTTCCGCGCTTCCTCCCGTCCCCTCCCCTGCTTCCCCCCATCCCCTTCCGTGCTTCCTCCCGTCCCCTCCCCTGCTTCCCCCCATCCCCTTCCGTGCTTCCTCCCGTCCCCTCCCCTGCTTCCCCCCATCCCCTTCCGTGCTTCCTCCCGTCCCCTCCCCTGCTTCCCCCCATCCCCTTCCGTGCTTCCTCCCGTCCCCTCCCCTGCTTCCCCCCATCCCCTTCCGTGCTTCCTCCCGTCCCTCCCTGCTTCCCCCCATCCCCTTCCGTGCTTCCTCCCGTCCCCTCCCCTGCTTCCCCCCATCCCCTTCCGTGCTTCCTCCCGTCCCCTCCCCTGCTTCCCCCCATCCCCTTCCGTGCTTCCTCCCGTCCCCTCCCCTGCTTCCCCCCATCCCCTTCCGTGCTTCCTCCCGTCCCCTCCCCTGCTTCCCCCCATCCCCTTCCGTGCTTCCTCCCGTCCCCTCCCCTGCTTCCCCCCATCCCCTTCCGTGCTTCCTCCCGTCCCCTCCCCTGCTTCCCCCCATCCCCTTCCGTGCTTCCTCCCGTCCCCTCCCCTGCTTCCCCCCATCCCCTTCCGTGCTTCCTCCCGTCCCCTCCCCTGCTTCCCCCCATCCCCTTCCGTGCTTCCTCCCGTCCCCTCCCCTGCTTCCCCCCATCCCCTTCCGTGCTTCCTCCCGTCCCCTCCCCTGCTTCCCCCCATCCCCTTCCGTGCTTCCTCCCGTCCCCTCCCCTGCTTCCCCCCATCCCCTTCCGTGCTTCCTCCCGTCCCCTCCCCTGCTTCCCCCCATCCCTTCCGTGCTTCCTCCCGTCCCCTCCCCTGCTTCCCCCCATCCCCTTCCGTGCTTCCTCCCGTCCCGTCCCCTGCTTCCCCCCATCCCCTTCCGCGCTTCCTCCCGTCCCCTCCCCTGCTTCCCCCCATCCCCTTCCGTGCTTCCTCCCGTCCCCTCCCCTGCTTCCCCCCATCCCCTTCCGTGCTTCCTCCCGTCCCCTCCCCTGCTTCCCCCCATCCCCTTCCGTGCTTCCTCCCGTCCCCTCCCCTGCTTCCCCCCATCCCCTTCCGTGCTTCCTCCCGTCCCCTCCCCTGCTTCCCCCCATCCCCTTCCGTGCTTCCTCCCGTCCCCTCCCCTGCTTCCCCCCATCCCCTTCCGTGCTTCCTCCCGTCCCCTCCCCTGCTTCCCCCCATCCCCTTCCGTGCTTCCTCCCGTCCCCTCCCCTGCTTCCCCCCATCCCCTTCCGCGCTTCCTCCCGTCCCCTCCCCTGCTTCCCCCCATCCCCTTCCGTGCTTCCTCCCGTCCCCTCCCCTGCTTCCCCCCATCCCCTTCCGTGCTTCCTCCCGTCCCCTCCCCTGCTTCCCCCCATCCCCTTCCGCGCTTCCTCCCGTCCCCTCCCCTGCTTCCCCCCATCCCCTTCCGTGCTTCCTCCCGTCCCCTCCCCTGCTTCCCCCCATCCCCTTCCGTGCTTCCTCCCGTCCCCTCCCCTGCTTCCCCCCATCCCCTTCCGTGCTTCCTCCCGTCCCCTCCCCTGCTTCCCCCCATCCCCTTCCGTGCTTCCTCCCGTCCCCTCCCCTGCTTCCCCCCATCCCCTTCCGTGCTTCCTCCCGTCCCCTCCCCTGCTTCCCCCCATCCCCTTCCGTGCTTCCTCCCGTCCCCTCCCCTGCTTCCCCCCATCCCCTTCCGTGCTTCCTCCCGTCCCCTCCCCTGCTTCCCCCCATCCCCTTCCGTGCTTCCTCCCGTCCCCTCCCCTGCTTCCCCCCATCCCCTTCCGTGCTTCCTCCCGTCCCCTCCCCTGCTTCCCCCCATCCCCTTCCGTGCTTCCTCCCGTCCCCTCCCCTGCTTCCCCCCATCCCCTTCCGTGCTTCCTCCCGTCCCCTCCCCTGCTTCCCCCCATCCCCTTCCGTGCTTCCTCCCGTCCCCTCCCCTGCTTCCCCCCATCCCCTTCCGTGCTTCCTCCCGTCCCCTCCCCTGCTTCCCCCCATCCCCTTCCGTGCTTCCTCCCGTCCCCTCCCCTGCTTCCCCCCATCCCCTTCCGTGCTTCCTCCCGTCCCCTCCCCTGCTTCCCCCCATCCCCTTCCGTGCTTCCTCCCGTCCCCTCCCCTGCTTCCCCCCATCCCCTTCCGTGCTTCCTCCCGTCCCCTCCCCTGCTTCCCCCCATCCCCTTCCGTGCTTCCTCCCGTCCCCTCCCCTGCTTCCCCCCATCCCCTTCCGTGCTTCCTCCCGTCCCCTCCCCTGCTTCCCCCCATCCCCTTCCGTGCTTCCTCCCGTCCCCTCCCCTGCTTCCCCCCATCCCCTTCCGTGCTTCCTCCCGTCCCCTCCCCTGCTTCCCCCCATCCCCTTCCGCGCTTCCTCCCGTCCCCTCCCCTGCTTCCCCCCATCCCCTTCCGTGCTTCCTCCCGTCCCCTCCCCTGCTTCCCCCCATCCCCTTCCGTGCTTCCTCCCGTCCCCTCCCCTGCTTCCCCCCATCCCCTTCCGCGCTTCCTCCCGTCCCCTCCCCTGCTTCCCCCCATCCCCTTCCGTGCTTCCTCCCGTCCCCTCCCCTGCTTCCCCCCATCCCCTTCCGTGCTTCCTCCCGTCCCCTCCCCTGCTTCCCCCCATCCCCTTCCGTGCTTCCTCCCGTCCCCTCCCCTGCTTCCCCCCATCCCCTTCCGTGCTTCCTCCCGTCCCCTCCCCTGCTTCCCCCCATCCCCTTCCGTGCTTCCTCCCGTCCCCTCCCCTGCTTCCCCCCATCCCCTTCCGTGCTTCCTCCCGTTCCCTCCCCTGCTTCCCCCCATCCCCTTCCGTGTTTCCCCCCATCCCCTTCCCTGCTTCAGCCCATCCCCTTCCCTGCTTCAGCCCATCCCCTTCCCTGCTTCCTCCCGTCCCCTCCCCTGCTTCCCCCCATCCCCTTCCGTGCTTCCCCCCATCCCCTTCCGTGCTTCCCCCATCCCCTTCCGTGCTTCCCCCCATCCCCTTCCGTGCTTCCCCCCATCCCCTTCCCTGCTTCAGCCCATCCCCTTCCCTGCTTCCTCCCGTCCCCTCCCCTGCTTCCCCCCATCCCCTTCCGTGCTTCCCCCCATCCCTTTCCGTGCTTCCCCTCATATTTCCCATGCGCGACACCCTTGATCTCTGGGAAAATGCCCGTCGCAAGTGCGGGCGCTGCGCGTCGGCCAACCTTTCTCATTCTGTTCTGCCCACCCTCTCCCGTTCCGTTCTGCCTCCATCTCTCATTCCTTCGCACTTTCCCTCATTCCTTCCCACCCTCTCTCATTCCGTACCACCGTAACTCATTTCGTCCCACCCTCTCTCTTTCCTTCCCACCCTCTCATTCCTTCCCACCTTCTGACATTCCTTCCTACCCTCATGCTCCCATTCTTCCCTCTCCCTCCTCCCTCACTCTCTTTCTCTCCTTGCACCCGCACTCTCTCTCTCCTTCCTCTTGCACTCTCACTCTCCTTCCTCCTGCACTCTCACTCTCCTTCCTCCTGCACTCTCTCCCTCCGTCCTCTCGCACTCTCACTCTCCTTCCCACCACCCTCAGCCCTCCTTCCCCACCCTCTGCCCTGTTCCCACCTGCCCTCCCCATCCCTGCCTTTTCCTCTCTGCTCCGCCCTTTCCTTCCCCAGCCCTTCTCAACCCTTCCCTTCTTTTTCATGCCCTGCCCTTCCCCCTCACTCTTCGCCTTCCGTCCTCTAGTTCCCATGCATGTCCGCTTGTGTGGATTCCCCTGCCGTTGTTCCCTTGCACCTCACACCACCTCCCCCATGTTCCTTCACACGAATCGTTCTGCCTACCCCACTCCCCTATTTTTCAGTGGTGAAGCAGAGGAGCAAGCTGAGGTGCATCTAGTCGAAGCTTTGCACCATACCACCACCTGTTTCTTGTGTGTCGTATGCATGCATGATACTGTATTTTTGTTGAAGAGATGGATCTCAAAGGCACAATACTGTAATGTACTTTTGTTTCTGCAGTGCAAGACATTTTTCCAAGACGCATGTACACTAAAGTGTCAGAAGGGTACAGAAAGGCAGGTGCACGATACTTTTAATTGTACCCTTTCCAAGTCCTCGAAAAAAACATGAGGGGAACTGTATTCTCTACGAGAATGGCATGGGATGATGGGCCTTTGAGCGAGTTGCAGTACCAGAAAAATCATCAGTGTAGTCACTGCAATAGCCAGGGAGAGGGAGAGAATACGAGCGATGGGAAGGGGAAAGCAGGGAAAGAGGGGGAAGAGGGAAGCAGGGGAGAAGGGAAAGGGGGAGATAGGACGATGTGAGAGGGAAAGGGGATAGGAAGAGGGACCCATGAAGTTACGAACAGAGGAAACGAAGGACGGATGAATGGAGGAACAGAAGAAGGGAAGGCCGGATGAATGGAGGAACAGAAGAACGGATGCAGGGAGGAAGAAGTTTAATCCGGAAAACGAAAAAGGGGGGAGGAGGGATAAGGAGAGGAGCGATGGGGAAAGGATGGATGGGAAGAGGAGCGGATGGGTATAGAGAGGGATGGATCGCGGAGGTGGTGAAGAACGAACCTTTTGGCGAGGCGGAAGAGGGGAAGAAGCAGGGAGGAGAGGGGAAGAAGCAGGGAGGAGAGGGGAAGAAGCAGGGAGGAGAGGGGAAGAAGCAGGGAGGAGAGGGGAAGAAGCAGGGAGGAGAGGGGAAGAAGCAGGGAGGAGAGGGGAAGAAGCAGGGAGGAGAGGGGAAGAAGCAGGGAGGAGAGGGGAAGAAGCAGGGAGGAGAGGGGAAGAAGCAGGGAGGAGAGGGGAAGAAGCAGGGAGGAGAGGGGTGGGGCGGAAAGGGGTGGGGCGGAAAGGGGTGGGGCGGAATGGGGTTGGGCGGAATGGGGAGATGAGGGATGTGGAGATGAAGGATGGGGAGATGAGGGAATGGGAGATGAAGGAAGGGGAGATGAGGGAAGGGGAGATGAGGGATGGGGAGATGAGGATGGGGAGATGAGGTGAGGAGGAAATGGGGTGAGGAGGAAATGGGGTGAGGAGGAAATGGGGTGAGGAGGAAATGGGGTGAGGAGGAAATGGGGTGAGGAGGAGACGGGGTGAGGAGGAAATGGGGTGAGGAGGAGATGGGGTGAGGAGGAGATGGGTTGAGGAGGAGATGGGGTGAGGAGGAGATGGGGTGAGGAGGAGATGGGGTGAGGAGGAGATGGGGTGAGGAGGAGACGGGGTGAGGAGGAGACGGGGTGAGGAGGAGATGGGGTGAGGAGGAGATGGGGTGAGGAGGAGATGGGGTGAGGAGGAGATGGGTGAGGAGATGGGGTGAGGAGGAGATGGGGTGAGGAGGAGATGGGGTGAGGAGGAGATGGGGTGAGGAGGAGATGGGGTGAGGAGGAGATGGGGTGAGAAGGAGACTCGCGGCGCCTCCGACTCAGCTCGACGCTGAGCCCGTGACGGCGGTGTTGCGGCAGGTAGCAATCCCCCACGCCTCTGCCCCGCGTCAACCCCGTCCTGGTGGCGTGGGATGGGGTGGTGTTGACGGGGGAGAGGCGGGGATGGTGACACGGAGAGGGGGACACAGTGCGGGTTTCCGCCTCATTTACAGCAGCACGCAGGGATGGGGAGGAACGGGGTGGGGCGGAACGGGGTGGGGGTGAACGGGGTGGGGCGGAATGGGGTGAGGCGGAATGCGGCGGGAGGAAGAGAGCGTGGGCGGCGGAAGGAGAGTTGTCGCGCGCGACGAGAGAAAGTGCGTGCGGACGGAGCTGGGGCGAAGCGGAGATGGGTGAGGCGGAGATGGGTGAGGCGGAGATGGGTGAGGCGGAGATGGGTGAGGCGGAGATGGGTGAGGTAGTGTGCGACGGGAGGGAATAGGCCGTGTGCGACGAGCGGGGGGTCGCGTAGGATTGCGCATAGACGATGGAATGGGAGTGAGCGTAGGCGAAGGGATGGAGTGACCGTGGGCGACGGAAGTGACCGATCGTGGGCGACGGAAGTGACTGATCGTGGGCGACGGTACGATTGAGCGATAGCAATGGGGAGGGAGTGAGCGTGGGCGACGGGAAGCGTGGGCGACGGGAAGGGAGGGAGCGTGGGCGACGGGAGGGAGTGAGAGTGGGCGACGGGAGGGAGTGAGCGTGGGCGACCTGAGGGAGTGAGCGTGGGCGACCTGAGGGAGTGAGCGTGGGCGACGGAGGGGTGTGCGCGTATACGATGGAAGGGGAGTGAGTGTGGGCGACGGAAGGGAGTGAGCGCGCTTGTTCTAGGGGACTCCGCGTGGGCGACGGGAGGGACTAAGCGTTTGCGACGGAAGGGGAGTGAGTGCGGACGATGCAGTTTCCTCGCGATGCCGCTTTGTAAATTGAACAGAACTCAGCGACGCAAAACGCGATGGGATGGGCTGAGAGGGCGGCGCAGCTACGACCAGAAGCGATTCCGTCGCAGAGGGCGGTGACCCTAAGCTACGGGGTGAGCGTGGCCCGCGACGCGACCCAAAAGTTCGACTCAGGCTATCGGAAAGCTAGGGCGACGGGTCGTAACTCCGGGAGGAATAGAGGATGCGAAGAATGGTGGAAGCAAATTTCGCGGAAAAGCGATCACAGGTGGAGACATGTGAGGTGTGTAGCTTCTAAGCTATGGGCGTCACTACCAGTCCGCTAGGAACTAAGCAAAGTTAGTCGACCTGAATTACAACTTTCAGAAAGGTGTGCACACTCGGGGCAAAAGTCCCCCAGGTTGGGTTGCCCAGACCCGAGCGATCCAAACCTGTGCTGCCTACGACCTCAGTACGTTGTGCGAGTGACACATGGTAACCAGAGAGGTTTGGGTCTGGTAAGTGTTGGCCCTCCCATGGTCGGGAAGAAAGCAAACCTGAGGTTCGGCTCCCGAGGTGTTAAAGGCGGGGTGCAACTTCTTAGGAACAGTAGCAGGACAAATATGGAGTGTGTGTAACGGGACCCTTACTGGACGAAAAAATTGGAATCTCGCACAAGACAAACCTCTCGCCACTGAACTGCCTGCGACTACCAAGTTTCAAGCTATAATACCCTGAAGTTGAAGCTGATAGTTGGGCCACGGCTTTAACACCTCCCAAGCGATTTTTAATTCAGGCTGCGGGTCTTAACAGCAAGCGGCCGACGAGGAGCACTGGTCTCAAGCCTCGAGAATTTCGGCAAATATAGCGCGGTCCGTCAGTTCAACTGGACGTGGTGGCGTGAAATTCACGTGAGCAACGTGACGAAAGCATCTCGTCACGTGGAAACTTTCAACGTGGACCGTGTTCATGCTTTCGTAGAATCAAATTTGAGAGCAGCGCCTTGATTCAGAAAGCTGATGTGAAACCTTGTCATTTCTTGCAAAGCGTCTTCTTCTAGAAGAACGGCGAATCATAATGTCGAATGTTGCTGGATGGGCACTAAAAACTGCTGCTGTGGTGGGAAGCAAGTAATATACATTGAGGTAAAAATATATTAGGTCAGAAATCCACATACATTGAGCAATCGAGCACTGACGCACCTAGGTGCTCTTTATTATTCCTCTTATTTAGGTGTTCCCTTGTACCTCTATTATTCCGGGCATGTGTAAAATGAAGAAAAGACATGCAGCCGTTGCACCCACCATCTTCTGCTGCCTTTGCCAGCCATTCTGACCGAAACAGAACCATCCAATGAGACGGGCAGGCAGGCGGCAACGGTCAATGATTTCTTCCCACATGTCGTCTGTGTGTTGGGAGGTGGGTGGGACTCGCGAAGTTGGGAAGGTTGACCCCTTGAGAACCCTGACCTTTTCCGTAGGCACTAGTCATGGAAATGCGGAAATGGCCCTTCGTTGATTTCACGCCCTTGGGCAACGTTTCCTAGTTTTTCAAAGGTTGTTTCGGAAAAGAGGGTAGTGTTTCAACATGTCATACGACCTTCTGGGTGCCTGATCGATCAAGCCGAGAACCGTGTAGGGTCTCTCACTGAGCGTGAAAGCTGTGACGCCCAGTCCTCACCAGATCTTGGGCCCAGGTCCTCACCAGATTTCATGAACTCAACCCCAAAGCAGACCCTTTTTATTGCAGTATTACCCGTTTTATTTTCTCGTTCATCTGCATCGATCAGATGAGAACACTTCCCCTTCCGAAATCAACTCTTCTCTCCATCCACTCTGTTCTGTTTCGTCTTGTTGAAGCTTGAGCTCACGTGCGAGCATGAAATGATGCTGTGCAACGCGGATATGCTAACAGCAAGCGGGTGGTGATGAGTATCTGCGTCATGGTCTCCCACGCGCGAAAGGCGGTGGAGTCCCACCTGCCTGCCCAACATACGTACATGCGCCCACCGTAAGATGGCTCAGCCTGGAGGAGCAATGACAGCGTCAGAAAACAGGGAGCACAAACGAGATTTCTAGAGGCAACAAAGGGATCAGGGATCGAACGGGAGAAACCAGGTGTCATACGACGCAGGCTTCACGTGAATCAGGAACCAAATATCTGCCCCTTGTTCGTTTTCTCCAGTCGCTCGCCATAGGGTGGTAGCGGCACAACGAGCAATCCTTGGGAGCTTGTTGGAAGATAATCGTACTGTACGCAGCCCAGACACACCAAGAACACCACCAAGCCACCTCAAATGTTTTTATGACTGAAATCTTCAGAAGCTTGGTTTCGCCACCTGTAGGTCAGCTGCTAGGAAAGCGGCTTTGAGAACGAGTTCGCATCCCATTTCCATTCCCCTTCCCTATTAATTTCTGGTGCTAATAGCCAAGCACGGCGAATTCCGAGTAGAATGTACCTAAGGCGAGTTATCTTCGCGTAGCAAAAAACAGGCAAGTTCCGACCGTGAGTCACGGGCAATTAGACACGATCTTAAAGATGACGGAGCAGCAGCTGGAACGTAGTACTACTGTTACACGGCAGCGCCAGCAGCCGCAGCCGCCGCAGCATTGCCGGGATGCGAAAGAGCGGCAGATGCGGCCACGACAGCAGCTGGAGGAATTTCATCGCGCTCAGACTTACAGGGAATCCAGCGCTCGCGCTGCGTCAGGAGAGCTCCGCGCGGCTCGCATGATAATACTGTCTCAAGAACATCAGAACGATGTCGCGGCTGACAGTCCTGACAATGTTTTGTCCCCGTTAGGCCGTTTGAGCGGCTCGTCCAGTACTCGAAGCAACAACGGCTGTTCTCGCAGTAACCCGCGAAATGTCCCCATGATAGATGTTACCACTGCTGCTACGGATCTTGCTTCTTGTGGTTCTGCCGGCAATGTCGCACGAGCGACGACGACAACGGCGGTCCGTCGAGTTGCAACTTCGGCGGGCGAGGGAACCGAGAACGAAGAGACAGCGACGACACCGGCGAATTCAGGTGTTGGTCGTCGAATGGCAGCGGAACCATTGGAAAAAGCGCCTGAAATCACCTTGGCGTCCCCGGAACGCGAAAGATTAACCCGCGATGCCCGCTGCGCTGTTGAGAGAACCCGGCGCACCGACTCGGAGCCGCGACGGCGACAGGAACGGCCTCAGGAACGGCCTCAGGAACGGCCTCAGGAACGGCCTCAGGAACGGCCTCAGGAACGGCCCGGCCATCGCGGACATGCCGTCCGTCACGGTGGTGACGGCTGCGCTCGACGCGGCGACAGCGACGCCGCTGCCGCCGCCGATACTTCCACCCTGCGGCATTCCACTGCCAAGACCACCCGCCGCGACGGGTGCTCCCCCGGCGACGGCGGAAGGCAAGCCACGCGGGACCATACCAATACAGATACCACCACCGCCACCACCACCACCACCACCACCACCACCACCACCACGACCTATAAGAGCAGCAGTACCTCGTGCGATCAGAACCGGCAGCTCCACCGGTTGTCAGTATCGCCAGCAAGCCGGCCTGGCGCAGCACTGGCGGCGGCGGGTCCGAACCCGGCGAGATCAGATCTGGATCTGGACGAGCCGCCCAAGAAGCGCCACCGTCCGTCCGATGACTGCGGCGGCGATCGTGGTGGTGACTCCGGCGGCGCTCCTGATGGAGACTCAGCCTCCGCCGCCGCCGCTGCTGCTGCTGCTGCTGCTGCAGCAACAGCTGGTACTGGCAGTGCAGCAGCTTCTGGGGCCGCGGCAGTGCGGATTATGGCAGCTGGGGCGTTCCCTGCTGCTGCGTCTCCGTTTCCCTCCTCCTCCTTCGCCTCCCGCTGGCCTATCCTCTCCTCGCCCTTCGTTGCCGCACATTCTCCTGTGAGAGCGTCCCGTCTGCCCACCACCACTGGTAAAAACGTTAACTCCTTGCAGCCCGTGCTGCCTGCGGCTGGGATCCCCCCTCCCCCTGCTCGCACCACTGCCAGTGCTAGCACTGCTGCTGATGCCGCTGCAACTGCTGCAGCAGCAGCCGTAGGAGCAGCAGCAGGCAACTTGATTCCCGTCACAGCAGGAGGGACAGCAGCAGGAGTGGTGGCGCCAAGAGGGGTGCCGTTACCCGCGCCTGTGGTGCTCGGTGTGCCTGTTCCATCCTCGGTGATCCTAGCATTGTCGCGCGGAGCGCCAGCCACAGCCACAGCCACAGCAAATTTATCCACAGCTGAAGCAGCAGCAACTCTAGCAACCGCTGTGGCAGATGCGCGAGGGATGGTGTGGGCAGGAGGGGCGGCAGTAGGAGGAAGCGCATCGGGAGGCGCAGGGATGCTGACGCCGCTGAAACGCAAGAGAGGCCGACCATCCAAGAAGGACAGAGCAGAGCAGTCACGCCTCTTCCTCCAGCAGCAGCAGCGGGAAAAGGCAGCTGCAGCAGCTGTTTCTTCTGCTGCTGCAGCAGCCGCGTTGGGATCAGCGTCAGCAAGAGCCCTTTCCGCTCGCTTGGGTTTGGCAGGGAGTGTGTCGATTGCGGGCTATGCGTCGTCGTTTGCTGACTGCTCCCTTTCAGACTCCAATGCTGCGTTTCCCTGTGTCCCATCTCCCGCTGCTGCTCCAGTCAGCATCTTTTCAGGCAGACGGTTTCCAGCTGCTGCTACTGCTGCTGCCGCTGGTTGTGCTGCTGCTGCTGCCGCCGCTGCTCCTTCTGCCGCCGCCGCTGCGGCCGCTGCTAGCGCTGCAGCTGCTACTGGTGGTGGTGCCAGCGCAACAGCAGCCAACATGCACCTTCCGTTTGCTGCACTGACCAAAAACCAGTCCATCTGTTCCCCCACGCCTCCTCTCTCTGCACCACCTCTCACTGCTGCTCCTGACGCCTTTGCCGGGCTGAGAGCGGATGTGTTTGCAGGAATGCCGTGTGTGCCTGGCGCAGTGGCGCTAGGCGTTCCCTGCGCTCCCCTCACTGCTGAGATGCAAGCCTGTGCTGCCAAGGGCTTGATGGGACACGCAGGGCTCTTGGGTTTGCACGGAAGGAATGCTGTTCTGGCTTCCGGTGCTGGTGCTGGTGTCCATGCTGGTGCTGCTGGTGCGTATTTTTCTGCTGCTGCTGCTGCTGCAGCCGGCACGAGTGGTTCCTCTTTCCCTGCGACCAACGGTGCTGCTTCTGGGGCTCTTGCAGCAGGCATGAGCACAGGGAGCGGTAGCCAGGGGTGGATGCTGCTGCAAATGCTCCCTCAGGAGGTGCTGCCTCAGATGTTACCGCAGTTGTTACTGTGCAGTCAAGTCATGTTTCCGGGCACCAATTTATGTGCAAGCCAGTTCCCACCGTTGCTTCCGCCTCTGCACGCGAGTTTGCCGCAAAGCCTGCAATCCCCCTCGGGGCAGCACGGCGCAGTCGGAGCAGCAGCAGTCGGTTCAAAGCAGGAAGCACCTGCTGGTGCTGTCGGAACAGCAGCAGCAGGAGGAGGAGGGGGAGGACCAGCAGGAGGAGGAGTTGTGGCCACACCTGCTGCTGCCGCCAGGTTTTCAGCAACAGCAGCGGCAGCGGCAGCGGCAACAGCAGCGGCAGCAGCAGCAGCAGAGGAGATCAGAGAAGCTGGAGCTGCAGCAGCAACACCCAGTGAAGGTGGGGAGACGGCGCCACGAGGAGATGCAGTGGGGGGTGAGAGAGGGAGTTGGAGGGAGAGGAGAGGCGGGCAAGGGCAGCGAGGGAGGGAGGAGGAGGACGAATTGGAAGGAGAAGGTGAGCGAGAGGATGACGAGTGGAAGGGCGAGGAGGAGGAGGGGGAGGAAGAGGAGGAGGAAGAGGAAGGGGGAGAAGAGGGGGAAGAAGAGGAGCAATGGGAGGAGGGAGGCGTGACGCGACGAGGGGTTGCTGCTGCTGTGCCTGCTGCTGCTGCTGCCTCTGCTGCTGCTGCATCTGCTGCGATGTGCGGCCCTCGCTTGTTCTCTGCATGGCATCTGTCGGGACAAGCTGGCGCTGACGTTGGCGCTGCTGCTGCTGGTGATGCTGCTGCTGCTGGTGCTGGTGCCGCTGCTGCTGCTGGTGTGGGTGGGGAGAAGTCCGAAGCTGGGAGTTGCGGGGGCGGGAACAGCATGGTTCGGGTTCCTGCATTGGCCCATGTGCACAGGGCGGCGACAGGAGCTCACAGAGGGGCTGTTCAAGAGCCTAAAGAGATCAATAAAGATGCTCGTCAGGAGGTCGAGGAAGGGGTGCAGCACGGGGTGAAGGGAGGATGTAAAGCGGATGGTGAAAGGGCCTTACGGCCTGTCCAATGGTCTGAGCGGGGTGGATATTCAGGGAGTTGTGGTGAGCGGAGAGAACGGCTGGGCGTGGGGGGCGCTGGCGGTGTGAGGAGGAGGAGAATGGCCGAGGAGGAGGAAGACGAGGAGGAGGAAGAGGATGAGGAGGAGGGAGAGGAAGAGGAGGAAGAAAAGCAGGAGGAAGAGGAGGTGGATTCGGGGGGAAGTGACGAATTGAGAGAAGGAGCAGCGAAAAGAGGAGCAAGAGGGGCAGCAAGAGCGAGAGGGGGGACGAAAGCAGGCAAGGCACGAGAGGGCCGCGTAGCACTGACAGCAGCAGCAGCAGCAGCGGCGCCAAAGCCATCTTCAGGTGCTGTCCCCGCTCTGGACTGGATGCTGCTGCAGATGCGGTCACGCGTGGCAATGCCTGTAAAGGCACTGGAAGAGCAGGCGGATGAATGCTGCCCTGCTGTGCTGAGGAGGGCGAGTATAAAGGCGCCTCAAACGGTGTTGGAAGCACAGGCGGATGAGCGTCGTCCTGCTGTGCTGGGGAAAGTGGGGGCGAGGGCGAGGGAGAATGAGAAGGGGGCTGGGCAGAGGGAGAGGGAGGAGGAAAGGTGCAGAAAGAGGGAGCGGGGGGAGGAGAGGTTCGGGAAGGGAGTGTGGGACGGGGAGAGGGATGGGGAGAGGAGGTTTGGGAGGGAGTGGGATGGGAAGAGGGGGAGAGAGAGTGGAATGGAGAGGGAAGGGGCGAGCGGGAGGGAGGTGGGGAGTGGTGGGGGGATGAAGGGACATGAGGGAGAGGGGATGTGCAGGCACAGGAGTAAGAGCAGGAGGTTTTCTGCAGTGAAGGAAGCTGAAGATGGGAGGGAACGTTTGGATGATGATGCGGGAAGAGGACAGGGAGAGAGGCTGTATGGAGACCAGCGAAGAGGAGCTGAGAGGCGGATGCGGAGGAGTAGAGAGGTGGAGAGCGTTGGGGATTATGGCGGGGATGCTGGTGCTGCTGCTACTACTGCTGCTGCTGGTGCCGCTGCTCATGCTGGTGCCAGAATCTCTCCACCTGCTGCTGCTGCTGTTGGCGCTGGTGTCGGTGCTGCTACTCCCGCTGCTGTTCCTTGCCCTTTCATCTCGTCCCATCCTGTCCCTCCTGCCTCTATTGCTGCGGCTGCCATCGCAGCAGCGGCTGCGGAAGCAGCAGAAGCAGAAGCCAAGGCCTTTCCCTTGGCGTTCTTCCCAGCAGCAGGAACTGCAGCCGCTTCTGTGTCTGCCTCTCTCTCTGTCAACGGTCGCCCCGCGCCTCCTCCTCCTCCTCCTCCTCCTCCTCCTCCTCCGCTTCCTCCCCCTCCTGCTCCTGCTCCTCCTCCCGCTTCTGCTATCCCACCTGCTCCTCCTGCTTTTCCTCACCCGGTTTTTCAAACCACAGCCTCACCTTTCTTTGGTACGTCTGCCACTGCTGCTGCCGCTGTAGCAGCAGCTGCTGCTGCAGCAGCTAGCACCTACGGACTGCAGCAGCACAACCCAGCCTTGCGTTTCCTCTCCCCTTCTCTCCTCCAGCAACACCCGTCCCTTTTCTCCTCCTGGCCTGCGCCCGTTTCGGCCGCGCCGTACCAGTCTTCTGCTTGGTGTGAGATATTCAAAGCAGCGGCAGCAGCAGCCGCTGCTGCGTCTGCAGCAGGGGCATGGGGGGGAGCAGGTGTGAGTGGGGCAGGGGTGTTTGGAAATCCCCGTTTGCTTGCCAACATGACTGCGAATGCGAATGCGAACGCGAACGCTCATGAGATTTTGAGAGACGGACAGGTGGGAAGTTTCGATTGGCAAAGAGGAGGGGGAGGATCAGGAGTCGGACTAGCGGAGGCAATGGCTGCGCTTCATCGGCAGCAGGAGAGGCTGAAGGGGGTGCTGGAGAAGGGGAGAAAGGGGGGTACACAGAGAGGGGATGCGAGCGAGAGACGCGAAGATAGGTGTGATAACGCGGGTGAAGAGAGGAGGGGAGAGGGTGGGAAGAGGGAGCGTTCCAGGGGAACTGAGTGGGAGAGGAATGAGCGTGTAGGAGGGGGAATGGGTGGCCAGGTTGCTGCTTTGGATTCCGCGGCTGCTTCTGCTGCTGCTGCTGCTGCTGCTACTGCTTCTCTTGCTGCTTCTGCGGCTGTTTCTGCTGCTGCTGTCAGGGAATTGTCTCCCTGGAATCGTGTTGTTCCCGGCCGTGACCCTCCCATTCACCCAGCGCTTATGAGGCAGGCATTGCTGCGTAGCTGGACTGCTGCCAACAACTCTCCTGCTGCTGCTGCTGCTGGGCTGGACGCATGGAACAGCAGCGACAACGCTGGTGGTAATGCGTGGGGAGGGTTGGGGAGAGCAGTGGAGACAGGAGGGAGGAGGCCCGAAAGATGGCTGGGGGGAGCTGAGGAAGTAGGGGGGCACGTTAGAGAGGAGGAGTGGAGTGAGGAGGAGGAGGAGGAGTTAGAGGAAACGGAGGGAGAGGTCAAGAGTGGGGGAGTGGCAGAGGAGCGGTGTTTGAAACGAGGCGGCGGTATGGGATGCGCTACTTTACCTGGGTGGGAGGAGTGGGAAGGCGTGGCAGCAGCACAGGACTGCATATGGCCTGGTGCTCAGTTCAACAGTGGCCAACCTGCTTCCATCACCCGTGGAGCTGCAGCAGTGGCTGGCCCTGCTCTTCAGCCTCGTGTGAACCGCCTCACCACTGACCCTGCTGCTGCTCCTCCTCCTGCTCCGCCTGCTGCTGCTGGCCCCCCTGCTGCTTCTTCTGCTCGGCCTGCCGCTGCGAGTGAGCGTGGGGATGGTCTGCTCGCGCAAGGTGTACTTCCGTTCCTGGGAGACGCCTCGGCGCTTGCACCTGTCGCAGGCGCGTGCAATGGAGGGCAGCGCATGCCTGTACCCCCACGGTCGCTGCAACGGTGGGGCTTTAGTGGAGTTGTCCAGGGGCTGGAGAGCTGCTGGGTGGGGGAGGGTGGCTACGGGCAGAGGAAACTTTTGGACGAGAGGACAGCTGAGGTCGGGGTGGTGGATCAGGGTCTTAGGTCCCGGGCGATGGGACAGGGTGGGATTAGGGGCAGAGGGGGAGTGGGAGTGGGTGGGGAGAGTGTGTGGGAAGAGGAACGCATGCTACAGGCTTGGAACAGCCAGTTGGCTGGTCATTCTGAAGCTGCTGCGACCCATGCTGCTTGGTTGGGTGCTGCTGCTCTTGCTCCTGCTGCTCCTGCTCCAGCTGCTGCTCCTGCTTCTCCCGCCGGTCCTGCTGCTACTGCTGCTGCTGGTCCCACTGCTGGTGCTAGAGGCCGTATCGTGGGCGGCAGTGAAACAGGTGTGACTGCAACAAACGGCCTGTGTGCATCCCTGTACGCACCTCCTCCTCCTCCTCCTGGCACCTTTCTACGCAAGGTAGCGCCTGCTAGGCTGGTGCGTCCGCTTGGAGACAGTGGGCGAGGAAGGGGAACGGGAAGCTCCTGGGGTGGTGCCATCACGGATGTTGCTGTCAATACTGCTGGCTTGAGCTCTGCTGCTGCTTCTGTTCCCGCTGCCGCTGCTGCTGCCGCCGCTGCTGCTGCTGCTGCTGCTGCTTTTCGCTCAGTTCCGGGTGAAGCTCCTACGAGGAGAAGTCGAGACCGCCATGCTGGTGCAGGCATGATAGGTCTGCCGCACCCTGGTGAGGGAATGGCAGGCACCGGTTTGCCACAAGCGGGTGATATGCAAGCGAGCTTCTTCGAAAACCGTAAGCAGGTTATGCAGAATCCAGGCCAAGGCAGTCATGGTGGGCACGATGGCGTTAAGGGAGCTTTTTCTTGGATGCTACAGAAGGGAGGGATGCGCAGTGGTTGGGGAAGGGCAGAAGAGCAGGATGTCTTGGAGGATCAGGGGAGAGTGGATAGCAAGGAGAAGAACAAGGGGAATGCCGTGCAGGAGGCAGTAAGAGTTGCAAGGACAGCTGCTGGTGCAGTGGATCTGACATTGAAGCTTTGAAGTTTGTACCTAGAGAACTCTGTGCTCGTGTTGTAGCGGTTGCCATGCTAACACTCGTGTGCATTGATGTATATTGGACAACTCTTTGTGTTTTTTTCCACACTATACAGCACGAACATATTGTTTGTCAGATCAATACCAATCTGGATCTATATTTTCGTTACCAAACATGATGATTCGAGATGGTGTGTGTAACCCGGAGTTACTGCGTAGTTCATTTAGTACAAATGTATGCTTGGTGCGGACCCTTCCGCATTTTGAGGCTGGAAGCACTCGTTCCGAGCGTTTTTCTTCCGCCGGGTCATGAGGCTGCGCTTGTCTGGCCCTACTACCAAGCCAGCAAGGGCGTGGGGGGGTTGCGAGCATCATCGGTAATCGACGCTCGCGAATGAAGAGCGCCCGCTGCACTTCCTGCACATGTGCGGATCCTTCCGCGTTTTGGGGGTGCAAGCGCTCGTTCCGAGCGTTTTTCTTCCGCCGGGTCACGTGGCTGCGCTTGTCTGGGCCTATTACCAAGCCAGCAAGGGCGTGGGAGGGTTGTGAGCATCATCGGTCATCGGCACTCGCGAAAGAAAAGCGCCCGCAGCGCTTCCTGCACATGTGCGGATCCTTCCGCGTTTTGGGGGTGCAAGAGCTCGTTCCAAGCGTTTTTTTTCCGCCGGGTCACGTGGCTGCGCTTGTCTGGGCCTATTACCAAGCCAGCGAGGGCGTGGGAGGGTTGTGAGCATCATCGGTCATCGGCGCTCGCGAATGAAAAGCGCCCGCAGCGCTTCCTGCACATGTGCGGATCCTTCCGCGTTTTGGGGGTGCAAGAGCTCGTTACGAGCGCTTTTCTTCCGCCGGGTCACGTGGCTGCGCTTGTCCGGGCCTATTACCAAGCCAGCAAGGGCGTGGGAGGGTTGTGAGCATCATCGGTCATCGGTGCTCGCGAATGAAGAGCGCCCGCTGCGCTTCCTGCACATGTGCGGATCCTTCCGCGTTTTCAGGGTCGAAGCGCTCGTTCCGAGCGCGTTTCTTCCGCCGGGTCACGTGGCTGCGCTTGATTGGTCCTATTACCAAGCCAGCAAGGGCGTGGGAGGGTTGCGAGCATCATCGGTCATCGGCGCTCGCGAATGAAGAGCGCCCGCTGCGCTTCCTGCACATGTGCGGATCCTTCCGCGTTTTCAGGGTGCAAGCGCCCGTTCCGAGCGCTTTTCTTCCGCCGGGTCACGTGGCTGAGCTTGATTGGTCCTATTACCAAGCCAGCAAGGGTGTGGGAGTGTTGCAAGCATCATCGGTCATCGGCGCTCGCGAATGAAAAGCGCCCCCTGCACTTCCTGCATATGTGCGGATCCTTCCGCGTTTTGGGGGTGCAAGCGCTCGTTCCGAGCGTTTTTCTTCCGCCGGGTCACGTGGCTGTGCTTGTCCGGGCCTATTACCAAGCCAGCAAAGGCGTGGGAGGGTTGCGAGCATCATCGGTCATCGGCGCTCGCGAATGGAGAGCGCCCGCTGCGCTCCTGCACACGTGCGGATCCTTCCGCGTTTTGGGGGTGGAAGCGCTCGTTCCGAGCGTCTTTCTTCCGCTGGGTCATGTGGCTGCGCTTGTCTGGGCCTATTACCAAGCCAGTAAGGGCGTGGGAGGGTTGCGAGCATCATCGGTCATCCGCGCTCGCGAATAAAGAGCGCCCGCTGCGCTTCCTGCATATGTGCGGATCCTTCCATGTTTTCAGGGTCGAAGCGCTCGTTCCGAGCGCTTTTCTTCCGCCGGGTCACGTGGCTGCGCTTGATTGGTCCTATTACCAAGCCAGCAAGGGCGTGGGAGGGTTGCGAGCATCATCGGTCATCGGCGCTCGCGAATGAAGAGCGCCCGCTGCGCTTCCTGCACATGTGCGGATCCTTCCGTGTTTTGGGGGTGTAAGCGCCCGTTCCGAGCGTCTTTCTTCCGTTGGGTCACGTGGCTGCGCTTGTCTGGGCCTATTACCAAGCCTACCAAGCCAGCAAGGGCGTGGGAGGGTTGCGAGCATCATCGGTCATCGGCGCTCGCGAATGAACAGCGCCCGCTGCACTTCCTCCACATGTGCGGATCCTTCCGTGTTTTGGGGGTGCAAGCGCTCGTTCCGAGCACTTTTCTTCCGCCGAGTCAAGTGGCTGCGCTTGTCTGGGCCTATTACCAAGCCAGCAAGGGCGTGGGAGGGTTGCGAGCATCATCAGTCATCGACGCTCGCGAATGAAGAGCGCCCGCAGCGCTTCCTGCACATGTGCGGACCCTTCCGCGTTTCGGGGGTGCAAGCGCTCGTTCCGAGCGCTTTTCTTCCGCCGGGTCACGTGGATGCGCTTTTCTGGGCCTATTACCAAGCCAGCAAGGGCGTGGAAGGGTTGCGAGCATCATCGGTCATCGGCGCTCGCGAATGAAAAGCGCCCGCAGCGCTTCCTGCACATGTGCGGATCCTTCCGCGTTTTGGGGGTGCAAGAGCTCGTTCCGAACGCTTTTCTTCCGCCGGGTCACGTGGCTGCACTTGTCTGGGCCTATTACCAAGCCAGCAAGGGCGTGGGAGGGTTGCGAGCATCATCGGTCATCGGTGCTCGCGAATGAAGAGCGCCCGCTGCGCTTCCTGCACATGTGCGGATCCTTCCGCGTTTTCAGGGTCGAAGCGCTCGTTCCGAGCGCTTTTCTTCCGCCGGGTCACGTGGCTGCGCTTGATTGGTCTTATTACCAAGCCAGCAAGGGCGTGGGAGGGTTGCGAGCATCATCGGTCATCGGCGCTCGCGAATGCAGAGCGCCCGCTGCGCTTCCTGCACATGTGCGGATCCTTCCGCGTTTTGGGGGTGGAAGCGCCCGTTCCGAGCGCTTTTCTTCCGCCGGGTCACGTGGTTGCGCTTGATTGGTCCTATTACCAAGCCAGCAAGGGCCTGGGAGGGTTGCGAGCATCATCGGTCATCGGCGCTCGCGAATGAAGAGCGCCCGCTGCGCTTCCTGCACATGTGCGGATCCTTCCGCGTTTTGGGGGTGCAAGCGCTCGTTTCGAGGGTTTTTCTTCCGCCGGGTCACGTGGTTGCGCTTGTCTGGTCCTATTACCAAGCCAGCAAGGGCGTGGGAGGGTTGCGAGCATCGGCCATCGGCGCTCGCGAATGAAGAGCGCCCGCTGCGCTTCCTGCACATGTGCGGATCCTTCCGCGTTTTGGGGGTGCAAGCGCTCGTTCCGAGCGTTCGGTCATCGGCACTCTCGAATGAAGAGCGCCCGCTGCGCTTCCTGCACATGTGCGGATCCTTCCGCGTTTTGGGGGTGCAAGCGCTCGTTCCGAGCGTTATTCTTCCGCCGGGTCACGTGGCTGCGTTTGTCTGGTCCTATTACCAAGCCAGCAAGGGCATGGGAGGGTTGCGAGCATCATCGGTCATCAGCGCTCGCGAATGAAGAGCGCCCGCTGCACTTCCTCCACATGTGCGGATCCTTTCGCGTTTTGGGGGTGGAAGCGCTCGTTCCGAGCGCTTTTCTTCCCCCGGGTCACGTGGCTGCGCTTGTCTGGGCCTATTGCCAAGCCAGCAAGGGCGTGGGAGGGTTGCGAGCATCATCGATAATCGGCGCTCGCGAATGAAGAGCGCCCGCTGCACTTCCTGCACATGTGCGGATCCTTCCGCGTTTTGGGGTGAGCAAGCGCTCGTTCCGAGTGTTTTTCTTCCGCCGGGTCACGTGGATGCACTTTTGTGGGCCTATTACCAAGCCAGCAAGGGCGTGGGAGGCTTGCCAGCATCATCGGTCATCAGCGCTTGCGAATGAAGAGCGCCCGCTGCGCTTCCTGCACATGTGCGGACCCTTCCGCATTTTGGGGGTGGAAGCGCTCGTTCCGAGCGTTTTTCTTCCGCCGGGTCACGTGGCTGCACTTGTCTGGTCCTATTACCAAGCCAGCAAGGGCGTGTGAGGGTTGCAAGCATCATCGGTCATCGGCACTCGCGAATGAAGAGCGACCGCTGCACTTCCTGCACATGTGCGGATCCTTCCGCGTTTTGGGGGTGCAAGCGCTCGTTCCGAGCGTTTTTCTTCCGCCGGGTCACGTGGCTGCGCTTGTCTGGGCCTATTACCAAGCCAGCAAGGGCGTGGGAGGGTTGCGAGCATCATCGGTCATCGGCGCTCGAGAATGAAAAGCGCCCGCTGCACTTCCTGCATATGTGCGGATCCTTCCGCGTTTTGGGGGTGGAAGCGCTCGTTCCGAGCGTTTTTCTTCCGCCGTGTCACGTGGCTGCGCTTGTCTAGGCCAATTACCAAGCCAGCAAGGGCGTGGGAGGGTTGCGAGCATCATCGGTCATCGGCGCTCGCGAATGAAGAGTGCCTGCTGCGCTTCCTGCACATGTGCGGATCCTTCCGAGTTTTGGGGGTGGAAGCGCTCGTTCCGAGCGTTTTTCTTCCGTCGGGTCATGTGGATGCGCTTCTCTGGGCCTATTACCAAGCCACCAAGAGCGTGGGAGGTTTGCGAGCATCATCGGTCATCGGCGCTCGCGAATGAAGAGCGCCCGCTGCACTTCCTGCACATGTGCGAATTGTTCCGCGTTTTGGGGGTGGAAGCGCTCGTTCCGAGCGTTTTTCTTCCGCCGGGTCACGTGGCTGCGCTTCTCTGGGCCTATTACCAAGCCAGAAAGGGCGTGGGAGGGTTGCGAGCATCATCGATCATCGGCGCTCGCGAATGAAGAGCGCCCGCTGCGCTTCCTGCACATGTGCGGATCCTTCCGCGTTTTGGGGGTGGAAGCGTTCGTTCCGAGCGTTTTTCTTCCGCCGGGTCACGTGGCTGCGCTTGTCTGGGCCTATTACTAAGCCAGCAAGTGCGTGGGAGGGTTGCGAGCATCATCAGTCATCGGCGCTCGCGAATGAAGAGCGCCCCCTTCGCTTTCTGCACATGTGCGGATCCTTCCGCGTTTTGGGGGTGGAAGCGCTCATTCCGAGTGTTTTTCTTCCGCCGGGTCACGTGGCTGCGCTTGTCTGGGCCTATTACCAAGCCAGCAAGTGCGTGGGAGGGTTGTGAGCATCATCGGTCATCGGCGCTCGCGAATGAAGAGCGCCCGCTGCGCTTCGTGCACATGTGCGGATCCTTCCGCGTTTTGGGGGTGGAAGCGCTCGTCCCGAGCGCTTTTCTTCCCCCGGGTCATGTGGCTGTGCTTTTTTGGGCCTATTACCAAGCCAGCAAGGGCGTGGGCTGCAAGGTCCTCGCAAGTCGACGTTGGAGGTCGACGAAGCGGATTGACGCCGTCTTCGGCGACTCATGTGACAGCGGGCGGTATAGCACCAAGCTACGACTACTTTAAGTTTACGCCGGACACATATTCATAAACACCATGCATACTTCTTTTGCCCTAATCTAGTTAGTAATGTTACTGTATATACATATTTCTGTGCTGGAGCCAGCTCTGCCTGGGACTATGGATTGCATTTGCGTCGGAGTCGCATCCTCATCTCCGCCCAGTTGCACCAACTGGCCCGGCGCTGCTGTGCTATTGTGGGGAAGAGAACAAGGGTCAATCAGGGACGGACCGCAATCTGCCCACCATACCACACGCTGGTGGTGGCTGCTTCTGCTCCTCCCACACCCCACAAGAATGCGGCGACTCGACGGCGAGGGAAGATGGTGCAAGAACCGCGTTGAAAGCTTACCGTATCGTTCTGGAAAAATACGATACCGCACTGTAACGCAACCCTCCAGCTTTGTGCTTGTATCTCATCCTCATCTGACAGCGTTGTTTCCACCGCGACGCGGTTATGATATTACTTCGCTGGACTCCTATCCAGCTTCTCATGTATTATATTACTTCTCTCTGAGATCAACATTCCGCCTTGCGCTTCACACCCTTGCGTCTTTCCTGTCTCGTTCTTGCTGTATTTGTGATCGCGAACTCTGGTCTTACTCCGACTCGGCACCTTACGTAATAGTGGTCCAGTGCTGTTCCATAGAACGTCCGTTCCTACGTCCCATCTCCCCTCGCGTCACGCCCTTTGCCACCATGAGCAAAAAAACGTCCCTTGCGCTTCTTATCATCGCAGTATCTCTTAGCCTATGCGTCGCGGACCTCTGTCCGAAGTTCGAATGTGGCGAGGGTACGTTTCGGCGAGGCAAGTTCATCGACGTCACAGCAGCAGACCGTACGGAGGGCTCCACGCGCTTCCTGGTCGAGGCGTTCTTCACGGCAACGCAGATGTACAACTACCTTGAATTCAATGTAACGGGAGATGAAACGCTCGCGCACCCCGAGGTTGAGTGTCACCGCTACTGCTCCGCGTACAACGCGCAACTTCGTAACAAGGTCCCTGAGCTGGAGGCAAAATACTGGATGTTCGAACAAACGTGCGAAGAGGGCAACGGAGGTTCGTAGTCCTTATTGTAACTTCCAGTAAATCCATCGTAGCAGCCTCTCTCGATCCCTGATAGTAACCATGGTCGTACATCGCTTTCGCTCAAGCTCCGCTATTTCTTGCCTTCGGTATCTCGAACTCTCACACCTGTCAGTTGTTTCCCGTGCGCGTCTACGCGTATGGATGGAACGTGCGCGCGCATGTGTGCAGGGATCTGCACGTGCTTCAACGCGGACGCGTGCGTGGACGAGTGGAGCTTCAGCCCAGCGTGGATGGAGCCGGCGGAGGGGATGGGCACGGACCGCGTCGAGCCGGCTTCCAATTGGACCGTCGGCTCGCTCTGCACCGCCAAAGAAAAGGGCGACCCGCATTTCACGGGCGCCGACGGCTCACATTTCGACTTCAGCGGTAATGCTACTGCTACTACTTTTATCTCGAGATTTAAAGCATTCGGTCGGACATTTCTTCTTAGAGCGTCTTCTTGTTCTAAACGGTTTTCGTCAATCTTGGTCTCACCCAGGTTCTACTCCCGCTTCCCTCCCTTGCCCCACCCGTTGCACCTTCAGGCCGGCCCAATCGCAACTACGCGTTGATATCAGACGCCCACGTCCAGGTCAACGCGTTCTTCGGCGGGCGCTACGGCGTCTGGGCCAAACACGCGAAGGCGCTGACGTGGATTAGATCGCTCGCCGTCATGACCGGCCACCACCTCCTCATCTTAGACGCACGCCGCGGCGCCTCCGCGGAATACGGCGACGGCTACTTAGCTCGTATGGTAGTTGACGGCAAAGTTAGGGAGTTAGATACCCCTGGAACTAGCGTCCAGCTTTGGCCGGGAGCCGAGCTAGCGTGGGTTGTGGGGGGGAAGCGAGACGGGAACGACCTGATTGACGTTTACGAACTGAGAGTGGCGAATGTGGTAACCCTTCGCGTCACGTTGCGACCGGAAATCGCGGCGATGCGCACGGCGACGGATGGGACGGTGCACATGTCGATCGGCGTGGATTGGGCGAGCCTTTCGCCCTCCGTGCACGGCGTGTTGGGGCAGACGTTCCGACCTGACTTCATCGGACGGCTGTGAGCACTCTTCCTGACGCGCACTTTCATGAACATAATGGGCGTCAGCCTTTGTGTGGCATTTTGCGATTGACAAAGCTTAGGTCAACGCTTTTTATGCCTCGTAATTTTTTTGTTCTGCTGCGTGTTTTGCTTGGCTTCACTGTCGTCTTGACAAACGTGTGCCACCCTTACAGGGCCATGGAACCAGCATCCCACGCTTTCTTTCCCCACAGCTACTCATGCTCCGTATGAGCAGGAGAAACACAGGGCAGAAGTGCCCTCCACAACATTCCTCATTCTGCCTCCTTTCTCCTCCATTCCTGTCTCCTACCTTCCCTTCTCCTCCCTTCTCCTCCCTGCTCCTCCCCTCCCCTCCCTCCTTCCTTCCCCACACCCTTCCCCTTTTTCACCCCCTGCTTCCGGCTCCGCCCTGTGTCAGAGCCGAGCAGCAGCTAGTGCACAGCGATCTATTACACGAGGACGTGGTGCCAGGGGACAACGCGGAGGGCTTTATCGACGGCACGGTTAAGGACTATCAGGTGTCAGTGCTCAGCAAGGCGGACTGCCGCTTCTGCCGCTTCGCCCGCGCACAACTGGTGGATGAGGAGATGGCTCGGGCGCTCGAGCTGACGGGAGGGTTCTTGCACGCAGGTGTCGGGGTCGTGGGCGGCGGTGGGTATGGCATGAAATTGCGAGGCGGGCCGTTCTCTTCTGGAGAGGCTCTGCTGATGGATGCTGAGTGAGCTAGACTTGGTTGCGTTGCGAATTACTTTTGGGCCGGCCACGTAGGCGGCGGGAGAGTATGGCTTCTGCGTGCCCTGCTGCTGGGGCTGCTTTCCATGGCAGCTCGGGAGGAGGCACAGCACAATAAGTGGGCACTTACTGTACCTGCAGGTCTAGCATGCAGCAGTGCATATGCTAGCAGATCAGACTTTCCTGTGATACTATATATTGTACCTTGGTTGTGCCACCTGCAGCATGCCAGCCGCGTGGCATGTCCTGCCAATAAAGGGCGCACCAAAGGATCAGTGACACAAGCCATTGCTGCTAGCTGCTGTGGCTGTTTAGAGAGCACCATTCCCGTCACCCTGATGGAGCACCTTGTTTTTGTTATCCAATAAAGAGCCAATAATCATGGGATGCTTTGCACTGCTGGCAGTGTTGCTATCTCGACTGCAACAATACCAGTGTATTCCCATACAACCTTACCGATGTTGACACAACCAAAACCTCCTAAAACAGCGATCATGAACCTGGCAAAGGCACCATAAATGCTCCCAAAACACAAACTCTCAAGGGAAATGTGCAATAAAACGAAACACAAGAATATATATAACATCATGAAGTCCCACTTCTAAATCGTGGGTCTTGGCCAATCTTTGCACAAAAATAAACACAAGTAAAAAAAAAAGCTGGAAGACCACACCAGCAAATGTGCATGCTGAAATCTATAAGCTCATTCAGGTGCAAATTGATAACTTCCAGTTAACTGCCAGACCACAATGGGACCCAATATGCAAACGAAGCGGCAACAGCAAGAAAGTTCGGCATATCCCAACCAGCAGACCAGACAGACCACAAAAGCTCACCAATCGTCCATCCCCATCAATCATTTGCTCCAATCGCCCACCCACAGCGGGCATTTGCAATCCTCCAAGCATTTCCGTCCAGACCTCCTCTTCACTCCTCGTCACTCAGAAAAAACTCATCATCGAGAAACTCGTCATCTGACTGGAAGTTTGGCACATACTTCTGAATGGTTTCAAGAATGCGGACCTTTTCGCGCGTGGGAAAAGATTCTACGAGGGTTTTGTGCATGTAGAAATGGAACAGAGGGACCACCTGAGCACGCATGGTGTCATATGGGGAGGTCCAGACAAGATAGGGGTAGAAAGGGTTGGGCAAAAGGGTGGGACAGAACGGGTGAGAGCGCGAGGACAGAGAGGACAGTAACAAGGGTGGGGAAAGAGGTTGAAGAGGGAAGTGGGGAAGGATGGGAGGCTAGGGGAGAGAGGGGGGTGAGGTGGACGATGGGAGAGAGGAATCACAGAGTCGGTAACAGTGTCTGTTAAGAAGATCTGAGTGATAGGGGAACGAAAGGTTATACAGGATTATGAAATGTGATGATGGATAATTTGAATATCCCACCCAAGCAGAAACACACACACCCACACACATCCCCACTGAGGGCGTATCCCTGGGTGGTGGCAGGGCCACTGTAGCTGGCACTGTTGGTGGCATGCGCATTTTCCGCCCCCCTGTGTTTTTGGGAAAGTTGCCACCAACCCTGCCAGCTACAGTGGCCCTGCCACCAGCCAGGGATACGCCCTGAGGCGCAACTGTGGAAAATTCCCTGTCTCCTGCTTCCTTCCTTAATAATTGCTGGCTAGAACAAGCGTCCCTTCCTGTCTCACCTTAATCCGCAGTGCTTCAGCGATGTCGGATTGCTCATCATAGTCATCCATAACCTGCACCGGTGCCACGTGGCAGCCAGCCATGACAAACCCAAACAGTGCACGAACAAGTCAGAAGGGCAACGACAGACGGAGAAAGGGGTCAAGAAAATCGAAGCTAGGGAGAGGGGGGAAAAGGCAAAATTGGAGTTGTTGAGGATTTGCGTGAGGAATAAAGTAAAAACGAATATTTTTTCTTGTACACCACCCCTTCCTTCATCTCCTTCCCACCGCCCCAACCCCCCCACCCCTCCCCTTCCCCCCTCCCCCCCCCCCCCTCACCTGCCCCCCTTCCCTCCCCCCTCTCTCCCGAACCCCTCCCCCCCCCTCCCCCCCGCTCCCCCCCTCAATTTTCGGCCGTGTCAACATACAGCAAAACCAGAAGCTGGTTATGTGACGGTAACGCGAAATTTACAATTGTTGCGTAACATATCTTCGAAAGGACTTTCGAAACGACTCAAAAGCTACAAATCGTGCGAACGTTATGTTTGAGGAAGATAACGGGATCCCCCAGATCGCCTTCGGCGCGACACAGCTTCGCAAAGCCTTGCTCGATGTACTTGCAGCTCCCGCACGCCGTGCGGAAAAAGTCCACCACCACCAGTATGTTATTCCTGTCCGCGTGCTCTAGAATCACGTCGAGTTCCTTCTGCGACTTGATTTCGCGAACGCACTCCGCCGGACACGTGTCCAAATCCGCTTCGCTTTCCACCTCGCCCTCGCGCCTGCTAGGTTGACGACTACGGTCAATCTTAATCGCGTTCCGTCGAACATTTCGTCGGAAAGGCTGAATAGACGTCCGCTGGGGAGAAAGAGAGTGCGACGACGAAGGAGTCAGGGGAGTCACGTGTGGGACGTAGCTTCTGGTTGCAACATCCGAGCGCAGGCGTGACGGTGTAAGATGCAGGAGCGAAGGATCGGCGAGAGACCATGCAGAGGTCGTGATGGATTGAAAGCCATGAATCTGATGTAAGCGCGACGCGGCCAGGCTCGAGACCGCGAAAACCATTAGTAGCGACTGCTCCTGCAACGACGAGTGAACTGTAACTCACGCTAGACAAGTGGAGCAGAGAGGATGGGTGGGAGCTTACAAATATCAGAATCCTTTCGAAAAGAATATTAGGTCATTTCCGAGATTCATCTCAGTGCCTCCAAGTCCAACTCGGTGATGAATCTGTGGGCGATTGTGAGAGGAGGTGAGTGAGGGCGACGATTGACTCGGAATCCAGTGTGGATCCCGCTCCTGCCATATGCTCACAACTTTCCGATGTTTTCCCTGGGATTCGGACGCGTTCGACTTTTACGGACGGTTCGGACAACAACCACTCTAAAACGAATTGAAACCCACTTGAACAGAGCGTCCCATAAATAAACCACTTCGAACCGTTCTGACGGTCCGGTTCGTTCGGAAAAAATCGAAAATGTAACACGCCCTAATGAGAGCTACGGTCAGTTCACAGTAACGTGCCAAGTCCGTACTTCGAGAATGCAGACGAAGAGTTTACGACGGTACGTTTTACTCCTGTGGAGAGTGCAGCCTGTATGAAACAAATCGGATCGTGCACAAAATGTTTCACTCCCTTTTCAAGCGAAACACTTCCGAAATTGTATCGAAGACAACAGACCCTAATGTGTAGTTGTCAGAACGAGCCCTTGAGTTTGAATCTGGTGTTGGGACACGTAAACCTTTCGCTGACCGACAGAAGGGGCAGAGCAGTGCCTTCTCTCTTCGAACTCGCTGTCACTATAATCTTTTTCATTCCAAGCCCCTTAAAATCAGTAAGTCCATCATCGTTAAAAGTCGTACCAGTTTTCCGTTACAGAATCTTCCCACGCCCACCTGCAAATTTAAAGCCCGAGGTCAGCATGGTTTTTTGGAAAATCGAATAATGGCTTTAACATGGTTGGCGAAAGCCAAAAAACGTAGCGAGAGCCAAACCAGCTAACGAGCAAACCTTGAATTCGTCACTCAACTGTGCGACAGGCTTCTCCAAGAATATGGGAAGAGAAGCCTCGAGCCCCTGAAAATGCCACACTGAAGGGCGAAATTGTGAGAGGCCCACTCTCGAGAAGGGGAATCCCCTAGCGATGCAGGGCGACAACGCCAGAGACGCTCGCGACTTGGGTTTAGGGCATCGCAGCCAATCAGCCCTCTAGAAATGCATCTGTGCAATCGAATCGCAGGGCGCGACGTGAGCAGAAAAACGAAAACGCAGGGTGTTGCGCTCGGTGTAAATGGATTGGCGCGATCACATGTGGTAGGTAGAAACAGGGAACCAGCCGCAAATGCGACACGATAGCTCCAGCCACGTAATGCTACGTGCCTGATGGTGCTCAGGAGGAACTGGTAGGTCCCTCGACTACCAGCAATGCTTGTCCTTCGGCAGGTGATACAACAATAAAGCTAAGCGTGCACGTGAGACCGCGGCGCAGGAGAAGTCAACGTAATTCCCAGACTAATGCAACGTTTAGCCTGAACGTGGCACGTACGGAAAGCACGAAGGATGCCGGTTGTTGAGTTTGAGAGAGAAGCATCAGTGGGAGCGTACTCACATGGCAGCAAGGTGTCGAGCGGAAAGGCCTACTCTCTCTCTACGATCTCAAAGAAAACATAGGGGAAGACGGAGTATCTGTGAGGAAAACATTCAGTGGAACTTACGAACGCGATTGAATACCCCAACGCCTCCAACTACGACGATAGTGCGCAGGACCAAATCGACAATACGCATGCGATTGCGGTAGGAGGGAGGTAACGGCGAGCGCCAGGGAGAAGACTAAGAGAGGAGCTCAGATTTATAGGGCGACGAGCTGCACTACGAGCGTGACGCAATTAGAATCGGTAAGAGGGTGGCAACGGGAAAATAGATTACTATAGTCACCAGGTCAAGCGTCTTCATTGACACGACGTGTCTTGAGATTCCGCAGCACAAACAGCTCTCGTTGCAATACCCCGCGTGTTTCACTGCGGAGTTTCCGGTCCACCGATTCGGCACTGACAAAACTCAGACCGATACATGTGCAGTAACGGGCATAACGGAAACTGCAACAAAGGAAACTGCAAGTCGCGACTGAGCTCCTACTGTCGCAGTAACATGCTTTAAAGCATCTATAGTCACACCATCCCCTTCCTTGCTTCCCCGTGTCCCTTTCCCTACTTCCCCATGACCCCTTCCCTGCTTCCCCATGTCCCTTTCCCTACTTCCCCATGTCCCCTTCCCTGCTTCCCCGTGTCCCCTTCCCTACTTCCCCATGTCCCCTTCCCTACTTCCCCATGTCCCCTTCCCTACTTCCCCATGTCCCTTTCCCTGCTTCCCCGTGTCCCTTTCCCTGCTTCCCCATGTCCCCTTCCCTGCTTCCCCCCATCCCCTTCCCTTCTTCCCCCCATCCCCTTCCCTGCTTCCCCATGTCCCTTTCCTCCTCGTGTCCCCTTCCTTGCTTCCCCATGTCCCTTTCCTTGCTTCCACGTGTCCCCTTCCCTGCTTCCCCCCATCACCTTCCCTGCTTCCCCATGTCCCCTTCCCTGCTTCCGCATGTCCCCGTCCCTGCTTCCCCCCACGCCCTCCCCTGCTTCCCCATGTCCCTTTCCCTGCTTCCCCCCATCCCCTTCCCAGCTTCCCCGTGTCCCTTTCCCTGCTTCCCCCCATCCCCTTCCCAGCTTCCCCGTGTCCCCTTCCCTGCTTCCCCATGTCCCTTTCCCTACTTCCCCATGTCCCCTTCCCAGCTTCCCCCCATCCCCTTCCCTTCTTCCCCCCATCCCCTTCCCTGCTGCTCCATGTCCCCTTCCCTGCTTCCCCGTGTCCCTTTCCCTGCTTCCCCCCATCCCCTTCCCTTCATTCCCGCATCCCTTTACATGCTTTCCCCCCTCCTCTTCCCTTCTTCCCCCCATCCCCTTCCCTGCTTCCCCATGTCCCTTTCCATGCTTCCCCATGTCCCTTTCCTTGCTTCCCCATGTCCCTTTCCTTGCTTCCCCATGTCCCTTTCCCTGCTTCCCCGTGTCCCTTTCCCTGCTTCCCCCCATCCCCTTCCCTGCTTCCCCCCATCCCTTTACATGCTTCCCCATGTCCCCTTCCCTGCTTCCGCATGTCCCCGTCCCTGCTTCCCCGTGTCCCTTTCCCTGCTTTCCCCCATCCCCTTCCCTTCATTCCCGCATCCCTTTACATGCTTCCCCCCATCCTCTTCCCTTCTTCCCCCCATCCCCTTCCCTGCTTCCCCATGTCCCTTTCCTTGCTTCCCCATGTCCCTTTCCTTGCTTCCCCATGTCCCTTTCCTTGCTTCCCCATGTCCCCTTCCCTGCTTCCCCCCATCCCCTTCCCTTCTTCCCCCCATCCCCTTCCCTGCTTCTCCATGTCCCCTTCCCTGCTTCCCCGTGTCCCTTTCCCTGCTTTCCCCCATCCCCTTCCCTTCATTCCCGCATCCCTTTACATGCTTCCCCCCATCCTCTTCCCTTCTTCCCCCCATCCCCTTCCCTGCTTCCCCATGTCCCTTTCCTTGCTTCCCCATGTCCCTTTCCTTGCTTCCCCATGCCCCTTTCCCTGCTTCCCCCCATCCCTGCTTCCCCCCATCCCTTTACATGCGAAACCATGTCCCCTTCCCTGCTTCCCCATGTCCCCTTCCCTGCTTCCGCATGTCCCCGTCCCTGCTCCCCCCCACGCCCTCCCCTGGTTCCCCATGTCCCTTTCCCAGCTTCCCCCCATCCCCTTCCCTGCTTCCCCATGCCCCTTTCCTTGCTTCCCCATGTCCCTTTCCTTGCTGCCTTTGTAGATAGCTAGTCTTTCAGCACACCCCAGGGAAGGGGAAGAGGATGGGGGGAAGCTTGTAAAGGGACATGGGGAAGCAGGGAAGGGGATGGGGGGAGGAAGGGAAGGGGACATGGGAAAGCAGGGAAGGGGAAATGGGGAAGCAGGGAAGGGGATGGATGGAAGCAAGGAAGAGGATGGGGGGAAGCTTGTAAAGGGACATGGGGAAGCAGGGAAGGGGATGGGGGGAGGAAGGGAAGACACATGGGAAAGCAGGGAAGGGGAAGGAGGGAAGCAAGGAAGAGGATGGGGGGAAGCTTGTAAAGGGACATGGGGAAGCAGGGAAGGGGATGGGGGGAGGAAGGGAAAGGGACACGAGGAAGCAGGGAAGGGGATGGGGGGAAGCAGGGAAGGGGATGGGGGGAAGCAGGGAAAGGGACATGGGGAAGCAGGGAAGGGGATGGGGGGAGGAAGGGAAGGGGACATGGGGAAGCAGGGAAGGGGACATGGGGAAGCAGGGAAGGGGATGGGGGGAACATAAAGGAAGGGGATGGGGGGAAGAAGGGAAGGGGATGGGGAGAAGCAGGGAAAGGGACATGGGGAAGCAGGGAAGGGGATGGGGGGAGGAAGGGAAGGGGACATGGGGAAGCAGGGAAGGGGACATGGGGAAGCAGGGAAGGGGATGGGGGGAACATAAAGGAAGGGGATGGGGGGAAGAAGGGAAGGGGATGGGGAGAAGCAGGGAAGGGGATGGGGGGAGGAAGGGAAGACACATGGGAAAGCAGGGAAGGGGATGGAGGGAAGCAGGGAAGAGGATGGGGGGAAGCTTGTAAAGGGACATGGGGAAGCAGGGAAGGGGATGGGGGGAGGAAGGGAAGGGGACATGGGGAAGCAGGGAAGGGGACATGGGGAAGCAGGGAAGGGGATGGGGGGAACATAAAGGAAGGGGATGGGGGGAAGAAGGGAAGGGGATGGGGAGAAGCAGGGAAGGGGATGGGGGGAGGAAGGGAAGACACATGGGAAAGCAGGGAAGGGGATGGAGGGAAGCAGGGAAGAGGATGGGGGGAAGCTTGTAAAGGGACATGGGGAAGCAGGGAAGGGGATGGGGGGAGGAAGGGAAAGGGACACGGGGAAGCAGGGAAGGGGATGGGGGGAAGCAGGGAAGGGGATGGGGGGAAGCAGGGAAAGGGACACGGGGAAGCAGGGAAGGGGACATGGGGAAGCAGGGACGGGGATGGGGGGAATAGATGGGAAGGGGGTGGGAGGAAGAAGGGAAGGAGATGGGGGGAAGCAGGGAAAGGGACACGGGGAAGCAGGGAAGGGGATTGGGGGAGGAAGGCCAAAGGTGGTGTGGGGAAGGAGAGAGGTAAGCGGTGTGGTGGTGAAAGGCGATCATTAGGGGAAGGGCCACCGTGTGTGTTGGTTGGAAAGGGGGCGTGACTGGCCCAAATGAGGTGGGAAGGGAGATGGGAGGGATGGCGACAGTGACGGAGGTGCCAGGGCGACGAGGGGAGAGAGATACGGGGATTGCGAGGGGACGAGCAGGAGGGAGGGCGATGAGCAGCAGGGAGCGCGACGAGACAAAGGGGGGCAACGGGCGGAAGGGAGCGCGACGAGGGGAAGGTAGGGCGGCGGGTGGTCGGGAGGGCAATGGGAGGAAGGGAGGGCGACGAGACGAAGGGAGGGTGACGGGCGGAAGGGATGGCGACGGCGGAAGGGAGGGCGACGGGCGGAAGGGAGGGCGACGGGCGGAAGGCATGGCGACGAGCGACGGGCGGAATCTATGGCGACGGCGGAAGGGAGGGCGACGGGCGGAAGGGAGGGCGACGGGCGGAAGGGAGGGCGACGGGCGGAAGGGAAGGTGACGGGCGACGGGCGGAAGGGATGGCGACGGCGGAAGTGAGTGCGACGGGCGGAAGGGAAGGTGACGGGCGGAAGGGAGCGTCGGCGGAAGTGAGTGCGACGTGCGCTAGGGAGAGCGACGGGCAGTAGGGCGACGGCGGGAGGGAGTTTGATGGGCGTAAGAGAGTGCGACGTGCGGAAGGGAGTGCAGGCGTGCGGAAGGGAGTGCGACGGGCGGAAGCGGGTGCGTGGAACGTACATGTGAGTCGAGCGCCCGATCCGTGCGCTTGATCCGTGCGCTTCGAACGTACTTGCGAGCGCCATCGTCCCTGTAGAATTGGGGCGTGACATGACGTTTTTCTTTAGGCTGGCTAATTTTATTTTTGTTGGAGCGAAAAACCAACAGACTGCTGCAAGGATATAGACATCTCGCTGCCATTGTCTAAAAGCGATACTACGGGCTCTTGTGGTCCTGAACAGCGGAGCGCACTACGTGTCCTAGACTCAATATGGCTGCACATAAGTACAACTTGGTTTTCAAGTTTACTGAATGTGAACAGTGGTCCAACTCCCGTTGACACTTCACGCGGAATCCTTTTTTTTGTCGCTGGCCAATCATGCATCAGAGTTGTGAAGCATCTCATCCGTGAGGGGACGGAAAGCTGCACTTCGGGTGGTAACCTGGTTTTTGGCGAGTTCATATTCAAGAATCTTGAATTTGAAAAATGCCATGTGGAACTCGGGTTTTAAGAGGGTGGGGCCGAAGGAGAAATGAGGAGGGGGGTAGGGGATTTAGTAGGGAATTTATTTGTTCATTGTGGCAACAACGATTCGAGGATGTGAGTCACTGTCAGGACCAAATTTTCTCGACACAAGCGTATTCAAAACCATCTTAGGGTCTCCAAAGACACACATGGAATCAATAGAGAGAAAACGCAAAAGACACATTATGTGGAGACGTAATAAAATGCCCATTTATCTAAATGTGAGTGCGTTGTTTGCTGAGGATCACATTGCAACTGCAGGAACTGTACTTTGGCGTGAAGTGAAGTCACCACAGATTTTCGCGAGGACTTGTTTTGGCGCGTGGTTCACAACTCGCGTTTGCTGCTGTGATGAAATCACTTCACTTTGCCCCGCTGTTTGATTGTTGGCCAATCGTGTTCCTTGTCCACTCTGGCAGAGATCTCTAACTGGTTCCCAGAACCAGCACACAGCTGCGCTGGATAATCTATTGTTTGGACAAGCGCTAACCGAGCCGCTGAAGCCAATGTGTGGCAGGCTGTGCATGTCTTGTCTCGCCAAGCACACGCTTAGAATGGACATTTCTGGGCAGTTCACACCAACGGAAAGAGGATTACAGCTGTAACACCAACGAAAACATGTGTGCGAAGGAGTCACGACTCACGTATCCTGCCCTGAAAACTTTTTTTCTCCATCCTTATCGTTCTTCCAGATCCACACAAGACAAAGCTGATGGTTTCCACACCGCTCAATCGCAGCCCTGATTCTTAAGGCGTGCCACTTCGATTGTGCCGCGTCAAGGGACTCAATGGCTAACAGCGGAAAATTGAGGAGGGCAGCAAAAGCAGGGTCCAGCGCAGCACTTCTCGGGCTCGTCCAGAACTTAGGCGTGTGGCGTAGGTACTGTTAGAACTCGCAGTTAATGTCTTCACCAACTCCCGCTCCCAAATCAAACCGCCCTCATCGGGGCAATTCCAATTCACCGAAATACAACTACGTAAGTATGTCTGCTTCGCGGCGGTGTTTTAAACAGACCACTGCAACGAGCCCCATCAGGGTCACAACAACCACCTCGTAGGGCAAGGACTTACAAAACGCAAAGGGTGTTTAGCAAACACACATATCCGCGTCCCACCGAATCGCAATCTTCTTCAGTCCTTTCTCGCGTTGGAGTCGGATGGAACATGGTCCACGCAAGCCTCTTCCAGCGTTACATTTCATCCAGCTTTCCCTTTCCATCCCCCCTCCAAGCCCAAGAAGCTAACAGAGGAGGGGGGAGAGCATTGCTTGCATCCCTTTTCATGCGGCGATGAGTCGGCTTGGGTTCGCGAGAGATGCCTCGCTTCTCATCCCTCCATTCCTCCCATCCCATCCCATCCCACCCATCCACCACACAACCCCTCCTCCCTCCCCCCCCCCCTCCCCCAGCATTCCTTCCCTTAATCCCGTCCCACCAACCACCACCACCCGCGTGTCCCATGAACACCACCTATCTTCCACAAGAAGCTCCCCATTCCCGCCCGCCTTCTGTTAACCTGCTCCCCGCGTCTGTCCCACTTGCTCCAATTTACTCTTCCATTCCATCACATCAAGCCCACTGAACTGAACCCATTTTCTCCCCCCAACTCTCCAACCAAACGCAGTCCAGTTGCTTTGCAATGCAAAGCTCGCGCTTCATTCCTAGAGCACGCAACGCAACGGACCAGCCACATGACTGTAGACTTGGCCTCGTTGGCATGCTCAACCCCCCCCGACCCGAGTCGGATTCGTTTCTCTCCTCTCCTACCGCTCGTTCTGCTGCACTTGCACAGCCCGCTCCGCTCCTTCCGCCCCACCTGGTCTGTTGGCGCTAGTGTACTCACTCAACCTCCTCGTGTAATAAATCTCCCTCCCTCCCAATTCCCCCCATCGGGGCATTTCTTCCTTGCACGCCTGGCCCCACCCAGCACAGCACCTCGACTTTCGCACCGCGATCTCTTGGTCCAGAATCTCTCTGCTGCAATAGTTCCCTGCTCCTGTCCCCTGCATTCTCGCGTGGTTCTCGCTCGACTTCCCAGCTCCCTCCCATCCCATCTCATCCTCACTGCCCACCTATCCCAGCTGCTGCAGCTGCTTTAGTAAAAGTGTTCATGTTCTTTAGCCCCCTACATTTTCAGTGACCGCTACAAGACGCTTCCGTCTCCCGTTCACCTTTCAGCAGCCTGTTCGTAAATCGTCATCATAGTAGCTCACTAGACATCTCGTTGCCGCAGCTCAAGCCTCTTGCTTGATTACCTTTTCAGTGTCGACTGTGAGGCTCGACAACCGCTCAAGCCTGCCTCAATTTCACCTTCAGCCGCTATCGCCTCACCAGCATCGCCTCGCCGCCGTCGCCGCCGCTCGTTCCTACGCTACGACAGTTTCATCTGTTCACGTACAACGAACTCACCACATCCCACAGAGTCAACTCGAACCACCCTCTAGTCTTTCTCCTGTTCCTCTTCGACCTTCCCTCTTTTGGCTTCCGAGGAACGGCCCCGCCCCGCATGCACTCAAGCCGCCCGTCCGTCCCTCCGTCGCCCCCAACAACGTGCGCCTCACTTCTCTCAATTGTAGCGCAATAATCGAGGTTGAACGCGTAATCGATTGTGGCTGTCTCGCTGACCTAATCCTCCCCTCGGACCTTGTCGCCAGTCGTATCTGTCCCGCTGGCGCCCTTCGCAACCTCCCCGTTCTCGCCCCACCCCCCCCGCGCGATCACGGCGCGTCTCCGCGCAACCCCCGCGCAATCGTGGTCCGCCGCTACCCCTGGTGGCGGAACCACCAGCGCCTCCCCAGCCACTACGTATAGTGCTGTTAGTAGTGATAATAGCCCCCCTCCGATTAACACTACCGGGTTCTCCGCCGGCTTCTACGGTCAGGCCGCAGCCTCGCGGGTCTCCCGTCGGCAGCGCCTGCCGGCGGACCCGGCGGCGGCGGCGGCTGCGGCAGTGGCGGCGGCGGCGGGGGTAGTGATGATGCCGGCGCAGAAGGTGCAGCGGCTGTTCGACGCGTGCAAGGCGGCGTTTGCTGGCGGGCAGGTGCCGTCGCGACAGGCGCTGATGAGAGTGCGCAGTGCGCTTGGTGAGCATGCAAACAGGGAAGGGGAACGGGGGGAAGGGAAAAAGGGGAGGGGACGGGGAGCGGGGAGAAATGGAGGCGGGCGCGCGGCGGGATGAGGTGGAAAGGGTAAGGGAGAGGAGACGGGGGGAAAGGATGAAGAGTAATGTCGCTGGGGATGTCAGGCGGATCCGGATGAAAGCGCGAGTGGTGGGCGGAAGGTGAGTGAATGGTGCGCGGGTGGTGAGGTGAGCCGCTAGTGCGTCGGATATGTTTCGAGAACCTTCAATTCCTCTTCCTCTCCCCTTCCGCTCCCTCTCCCTCTTCAACCAACCAGAATGTATAAATCCAGCCGACGTGGCACTCGACGTCGCCACGTCATCCGATGCCTCCGCTCTCCACCGGCCAACCCCGCACCGTCTCTCTCCTTCCCACGCACCGCCTCGCGCCGCCGGTGCCTACGGTCCCTATGGCGCAACGGCCGCCGAACCGCGCTGCGCATCCAGCGGCGAGTTCAGCGGCGGGTCCAGCGGAACGACGTCGATAACCACGTCGATTAATCGGTTCATGCGCGACGCGACTCCGGACCTGCCTGGGCTTCACCACTGCGACCAGTCGAGCGCGGACTCGAAGAGCGCGGGCGCGCGCGGAAATGTGGCTTTTGGCGCGGACTCCAGCGGGGGCGGCGCCGCCGCCGCCGCATGCGCGGGGAGCGAGAGGGAGGCGGCTCTGACGTCGCTTTCCATGTCAGGGGGATCTGCTGTCGCAGCAGCAGCAGCGGCGGCGGCAGCGGCGGCTGCGGCGGCGGCGCCGGCTCCCGGTGCTGCTGTTCCTGCTCCTGCGCAACGACGAATCGCACCCCCGATTACATACCTTCACCTTTACGAGTGCCCGGACTTCTCGGTACGACGACTAGTCAGCGCCCCTGTCCTGTCTTTCAATTTCACTTGGCGCGAAGCGCGAACTGCGCACAACGTGTTGATGTGTCACTACTGAGACCTTTGAGTCGAGCCATGGCGTTCGGCCTTCCATGGCGTTCCCTCCCTCACCTCCATCTTCCCCGTCTGTGCTGCATGTTCCACGTCCCATGTCCGTCCACGTCCCATGTCCGTCCACGTCCCATGTCCGTCCACGTCCCATGTCCGTCCACGTCCCATGTCCGTCCACGTCCCACGTGCGCAGATAGGCATCTTTTGCATCCCCGCGCTGGCGTGCATCCCGCTGCACAACCACCCGGGCATGACGGTGCTGTCCAAGCTGCTCTACGGCCGCATGCACATGCGCTCCTTCGACTGGGCCTTCCCCTCCGCGCCTGCCGCTGCTGCTGCTGCTGCCACACAACGTACGACTGCTGCCGCTGTTGCCAGGCGTTTTTTCTTTTTAACTACTCATAATGTACCGGCTTCTCTTTTTTACTCCGTCTCCTGCTAATATGGGGCGTCGTGTTTAATCTTTCACGGTTTCAATATCTCGAACGAAATCGGCTATTCGCCATCCTCTCCCGCATTCCAACCTTGTGCCCTCCCGTTCCTCCCTTCTTCCACTTCCCCGCTTCTCCCCGTTTCCCCGTCTCCCCACCACCTCCCCCACCTCCCCTCGCCCTTCCCCCTTCCTCCCACCAGCGCGCCTGGCGGAGTTAGTGGAAGACCAGGTGATAGCAGCTCCATGCCCAGTGGAAATGCTCTTCCCCACCAGCGGTGGCAACATGCACGCTTTCACCGCACTCGCCCCCTGCGCCCTCCTAGACGTCCTCTCTCCGCCCTACAGCGTAGAGGCCGGCCGCCACTGCACATACTTCCGCGAGCTGCCGACCGAGCAGTTCCCGTCGCTGCCGCCCGGGGAGGGGCTGAAGGAGGGGCGGGAGTATGGGTGGTTGCAAGAGTGCCAGCCTGGCAACAGCTTTTCCGTGCGCAGGGGTCACTACCGCGGTCCCAGGGTGCGTGTGTGGGTGGAGTATGGGGAAGGGAGGGGCTGGGAAAGTGGGGGGAAATGGGGAGGGAGGGTAGTTGATGGGAGTGGATGAGGGGAGAGTGGTGAGGATATGCAAGGAAGGAAGGGGCATGGGAGAGTAGAGATGGTTGAATGGAGAGGGTTGTGATGTTCCAAGAATATTTGTGACGTTATCCGCATGGTTATATTGTAAGATGTAATGTTGTAACTGTTCCATCACCACTTGTCTGACGCTTCTCTCTCCCCCCTTTCCATCCCTGCCCTGTGTGTCCTTCTCTGCAGATTATTGACAGGGCGAGGATGCAACAGAAACAGGCGGAGCTAGCAGAAGCACAGGCGCAAGCTCAGGCCCAAAACCAAACACGAGTGCAGGCAGAGGAGCAGTCACAAGCACAAGCACAAGCACAGACCCAGACACAAGGGCAAGTGCATTTCCAAATGCAGATGCAGCAGGTGCACACACCTACTGTTGACCAGAGCTACCTTCACAGCATGGGAGCTCTGCTTGCCTTAGGTCCCACAGCTTTCCCCGACCCGGCTCCTGCTCCCCCTCTACCTCTGACAGTACGGGACATGACTGCTGGTGGCGTGGGCATGGGAGCAGGCGTGACATCAATCGGCGCGAATGGCCCTGTGGTAGGTGTGACATCCATGGGGGGCGTGCGAGGGATGGGAGGCATGGTGGGGGCTAAGAGGAGGTGCATGTCGAATCGGATTGCAGTGGCGGAGGAGGAGAGTGAGGATGCAGCAGGGTGTGTGGTGGAATCAGAGCTGGAAAACTCACACAGGCACCATGACCACCACCAACTACTACCGGTACATCATCAACAACAGCAACAGCAACAGCAACACCAATAGCAACATTAGCAACAGCTACTGAATCAACTTCTCCACCACCATCGTTAACACCCTGCGGTGCCGGCCTATTCTCCGCCTCCGGAGCAACTCCGATCCGAGCGAGTGATGGCTGTGGTGTTCCTTCCTAAGTTTGCATTCACCAGTTGTACGTGTATGCGTGTAATGCATAGCCAATGAAAATGCAAGTGTGCTTTATTGTGGAGTGCTGTCCTCATCATTCCATTCCCTAATCACAAAGTGGTCAAACAGGACTGGTTGGTACACCAATAGCTCTCTGACCTAGTAACGTACCAAACACCAGTCTGACCAGCATCAGTGAGACGCCTGCAGCTTTGCATACCACCAGTACTACCCTAACAATCCCCCCCCCCCCCCCCCCCCCCCCTCCCCAAAAAAGCTTACACCTGCTATCCTGAAATCCTGGTCAGGATCTGAAGCGGATTATGCCATCATTTATGACGTGGACCGAATCGAACACCTACACCGAACCGATACATGCACAAGCCTTCCAAGTATCAGTCCTCTTCATCTTCCTCGTCATCATCCTCATCCTTGGACTTCTTTTTGGGCCTTGAAGCCCAATAAACGTCCCACGCTGTCACACCAACCACTGCAGCACCAGCGAAGAAAGCAAGAGCAGCTGCAGGGTCAGAAGATGGAGGCTCTGCTGCTGCTCTTGCTGCTGCCGGTACAGCCGATTCTGCAGCTGCTGCTGCTTCAGTAACTGTTGCTGCAGCTGGTGCTGCTGCTGTTGCTTCAGTTACTGTTGCTGCAGCTGATGTTGCTGATGCTTCAGCTGCTAGTGCTGCTGCTGCATGGGCCGCATCCCCTGTTTCAACTCTAGCGGATGCGGGAGCAACAGGGGTCCCTCCTTGCGCCCCACCACTCGCCTCTGCACTCCGTGCTGCCTTCTGCGCTGCGGATGTGCCCTACCCAGCCGACCAAGGAGAGGAGTCAAGGATGGGAGCAGCGGGGGGGTGAAGGGTGGGAGACGCAGGAGTGAAGGGAGGGAGAAGCAGGAGTGAAGGGAGGGAGAAGCAGGAGTGAAGGGAGCGAGAAGCAGGGAGTCACGGAAGGGAAAAGTAGGATAGCAGAAGCGTATCGCGTGCCAAAAAGCTTTGAGCAAGAGGAACATGAAGAACTCATATCCGTTCAGAACCACTAGAAATCACCCAAAGACTTCACCGGAGAACATTCGGCCGGATTATTCAACTCTGAATCTGGCAACTGAACATCGTTCGTGAGACACACGGGGTCTGACAGAGACGGAAACGACACAACGCACAAACGCAGCGGTCAGGAGTTGAAATCTCTAGACACCATTGGAACGACATGTTGCACGTGACGGGAAAATGTAGCGGCGACGTAGCAGATTTCGCAAACGGGGTGGACGTGAGACGGGGGTGACGGAGGTGACGGAGGTGACGGAGGTGACGGAGGTGACAGATGTGACGGAGGTGACGGAGGTGACGGAGGTGACGGAGGTGACGGATGTGACGGAGGTGACGGAGGTGACGGAACTAGATGCGTCTTACCCAAGACGCCTTAGCACGATCACCCAGGAGGAGGTTCGTGGGGCTAGAGTTGCCCGGGACAGCACACACCTCTGATTTCGCCGCTGTGCTTAGCAAGTGGGAGTGGCTGGTTGGCGAGCGGAAAGGGAGGAGAGCGGAGGCAGGCAGGGGAACGGATTTCCCGGAAAACCAGGTTCGGATCAAGACGGTAGGCTCGCGTGAAACGACTCTTCGAGACGCCGCGCGGAGATGCGCAAGGAGCGCCATTAGCGATGAGGCAGCGACGGCGGATGGCAGTCCATAGGATGCGAGGAACGGCGTGGAGCAGGACAGAGACGAATGGCCACACTAGTATTGCTTTCCTTGGCGTTGTCAGTTCTCTCCAAAAAATGGTGATCCCAGATGGAGATTCATTGATGATTGATTACTGGCATACGGGCACGGTACAGTGATAATGTTCGTGATCTTCTATCTCTTAACCATATTCACAACAAAAAGTAGCCTTGCATTGCAATAAATGGAACTAAAGACCTATCGCTAAGAAAAGAATGGGTCCTAACGCCTCTAATAGACAACTATAGTGATTGAGCTAAAATCGCTCAGGCGACACACTGGATTTCGTGTCGGAAATCACTGGTGGAAAGCCATAGTAGGGTCGTCTTCCTGATTGCTGCAAGCGAGATTCCTGAGGGCATCGTCTGCATGGGCAGCCAAACCCTCGTTGCTCGGCATGGACGGCTTAGTAAGAGGCCAGATACCAAACCCTTCGTCGCCTTGCTCCATAAGTTCCCCCCCCCCTCCTGTGTAGTCTAAGGGAATATTCGGCTCCTCCAAGTGTATTTCCTGATTGCCAGAGCCAGAAGCAGGGGTGGGTGCCGTATTTCTAGACAAAAAATGGCCTGGAGCAGCAACCCGGTCAGGAGCAGGAAGAGAACCCATGAAGCCTGCTTGAGAGGCGGCAACAGGGTCAGGAAATGTGTTGATTGGCTGTAAAGAGTTGAAGGCTGGGACAGCTGGGGCTCGCATGGCAGACGATGATAATCCGTGCAGAGTTGGTTGGGTATTAGCCATGGATGCTGCATGTGCCATGTTGGACCCAGCTGAGGCATTAGTATCTGAAGTGAGAAATCCACGAGCAGCAGCCGCCCAGAGTGAGGGAGGGACTGTGGATGGATGGTCTCTCAGCACGCTCGCCTCTGCTGCAGCAGTGGACGAGATCTGTCCTCCAGCGCCCAGTGCACCTGCAGCCGTCAGATCAGAATGGAGGACCTACGGTAAGTGCGGGAGAGACATAAGCTCGACCCGGAAAACCACATCCAGAAACGATCAAACAGTGCGGAAGCAAGAGCAGTAGAGGCCTGGACAACCATGTCTCTCACCTACACCAGTAAACGGGTCACCTTAAACCCTGAATTCCAATCAAAATCCCTATCCGTACCTGGTAAGCGCTCCTGCTGCTGCAGAGTGTGCGGGTGTGGGGGGACAGCAGCAGCCTGCAGCAGCGCGGCAGCGATGTTCCAGTCGACCGAGGGCATTGCGGGGCTGGCTCGGAGAAAGGCCGTGGGGTTAGCGTCGGTCATGAGGGCAGCTGGCTCGTATAGTGCCTGCAGCATTGCTGCATCGTGTGCCGAGAGGTCAGCTGGCCGGAGGTTCACTGCACCTGGTGGGATTGCCCGGTGGGATAAGAAGTAAGGAATGAATTGGAGGAAAGCCGAAGGAACAGGCGGAAACTGCAGGGAGCGGGGCAAGGGTAAGTACAAGGAGTGTTTAGATTGTGCAATTGTGCGACAATATCTCGCAGCATCAGGAACATGAAGTGTCGCACGTATCTACCTGTTGCTTCGTCCATGAAAGCTGTTGCTCCCGGCAGTCTCCCACCCTGACCGTATGCACCCTCTCCTGCTGCATAAAGAGCTGCTTGGAACTCCCTTCCACTGCTGCCAGGCGTAACAGCAGCAGCACCACCACCACCACCAATAGCGGCGAATGCAGAACCACCAAAAGCGGCAGCAACACCAGAACCAGTATTTCCAAGTCCGCGGTCGAACAAGGCATTCCCAAGGTCAAGATTCCCGTCACGAGCCACAGCGTGTGCCAGGCCATGTAGACCCCTGGGCTCAGAGGAGAGCTGAGCGCCATCAATAGGGTGAGAAGCAGCAGCAGCCGAGCCAAAAGCAGCACCAGTAGAGGGTGCAGATAGGCTTGCCAGTTGAGCCAAGGCGTTGCTGTCATGCTCTCCTGCTCGGTTCATGTTGGCCAGTTGCTGCGTGATCAATGGGAGCAGCAACAGCTGCTGCTGCTGCTCTGACATGGGAAGGCTCGAGTGGAGAGAGTGGTTGGTGTGCGGCGGGTGGAACGACGGGAGATGGTGCGTGGCACTGCCGTTCTGTTGCTGCGCCTGCTGCAGAAGCGCTGACGCATGCAAGGACTGGAGCAGGCGGGACGACAGGGAAGGCGAGGAAGAGAACAAGCCTCCAGGGTTTATCTCCGGGTTTAAGGACGCGCCAGCAACGCTGTCTGTCTGTAGCCCCTTGTGGGAGGCGAGCAGCTGGTGGTTGCTCTGAGAAAGGGGCGAGCCTCCAGCCGTTGCAGCTGCTGCTGCCGCTGCTGCTGACACGGCTGCTGCCACCGCAGGAGGCAGGGACGGTGGCACACCCATTGCTGACTGCAGCAGCTGCTGCAGGGTGTGATTCTGCACAGCTAATGACATCTCCCCTCCTCTTCCATCTCCAGCACCAGCAGCATTGCCACCTGCAGCACCAGGGGCAGGCGCAGGAGCAGCCGCATGAAACTGGAATGCAGCAGGAGGAAAAGGAGGGGGAGCAGCGGCAGAAGCAGCAGCGGCAGCGGCGGTGGCAGCGGCGGCGGTGGCGGCAGGTAGAAGGGCGGGAAAAGGAGGGCGCCAATGGGTATGGGAGACTTGTGGGGAGGTTGCAGAAGAGGCTGAGATAGCACTAGGGAGCGAGTTCATGCCTGTTAGAGTCTCTACACTGTGTCTATGCCCCTGCGCATGTGTATATCCATGCCTGTGCTCTTGCCCATGCGCCTGCCCATCCCCATGTGCTTGTGCGTGGCGGCGGTGCTGTTGATGATGTTGTTCGAGTAAATGCATCACCCCATCCATATCTGACCCGCCACTGCCATCCATCATTCCCGCCAAACCCTCTTCCATCCCAGCCCGTAACGCGCCCCCTGTTCTGTCGCCCCCAACGAATCCCCCGCCTGGCGCAAGCCTTTCGTCCCCCGCCTGCGCACTCCGCAGCGCTGATGCGTGCCAATTCTCCGCCATCACCGCATCGCCGGAAGTCGGAGCGCCAGCGGCACCAGCACCGACGGAATGATCCGTTAAGAGCATGCCGCCACTTGCGCTAGTAGTGTTGCTACTAGCGATCGCCCGCAGGAGGCCAATCACCCCCGCCAAGTTACCGTTACCCGACGCAGCAGCCATCGCCGCCGCATAATCCCCGCCTGTCATCATCGTCCCTGAAGCCGATCCGCCGGATCCGACGGTCGACAAGACGCGCAGACTCTCCCACGCGTCTAGAGCGCTGGCGCTGGCGACTTCCAGCCCCGCGCTTGAGCTTCCGCAGGGAAGGCGGAAGGACGACGCCGCACCCGCCGCCGCTCCGCCAGCAGTCGAACCAGCTGAAGCACCGAGCCGAGCGGTGCTGTCACTGGCGAATCGTGCTCCCATCCCGCCGGATTCCGTCGCGGATCTCCCAAGTGACGTGGCGTCGACGCCTCCAGCGGCGCCGCCGCCGACGGCGCTCGGCCCGCCGCCGCCAAAAGCGCTGAGTCGGATTTGCTCTTGCGACGCAGTGCTACTGCCTGTGCCCCCGCCGCCACCACCGCCACCACCGCCACCACCGCCGCCAACGGCGTCGGGGTCAAGTAGCAGGTTGTACCTCGCTCGCGACCCGTGAAACACTCTCGCGGCGCGGTCGTATGCTAGCGCTGCCTCCCTGGCCGTCTCAAACGAGCCCAGCCACACGCGCTTCCGGCTGCGCGGCTCCCGTATCTCCGCCACCCACTTCCCCCACGTGCGCTGCCGCACTCCGCGGAACGAGTGGCTGCTGTTCTCCGGGCCGCCTTTTACCCCCTTAATCATGCCCTTGGCCCCTTTCCGTATGCGCCGACGCGGCGCCGTCGTCGACGGGCTGTTATTGTGAATCCCCGCAACTGACGCTGCCGCTGCTGATCCTCCTCCAGCTACTGCTGCGGCTGCTGCTGCTGATTCTGCTCCCGCGCTCGCTCCAGGGGGGAGCGCAGACACGCCGCCAGCTGCGCGCGAGTCGCCAGCTGCTAGCTCCCTGTCAATTACAACGGGCGACGTGCTGACAGGTCCCGCGCCGCTGCCGCGGGCACCGCCTGTGTTGCCCCCGCCGCCGTCTCGGCTGGGACTGCCGCTCATGCTCTGCCCGCCGCTGCTGCTGTTGCTCCACGACCCGGTCGTGTTCGCTCCGCCAAATTCCGTGTCGACGCCGCCGTCAGCAAAGCCTTCAGGATCAAGCTGCCCGAAAAAATGTTGCTGATTAAGGCTTGCTCTGTCGTCGCCCGGGCTCGCTTTTAGCGCTGCTGCGTTTGCGACGGCCCGAGCGGCGGCTGTGGGGAGCTGGGGAGGCGGCATCGCAGATCCACCAGCGCCGATCGCGGAGACGTCAATGGCGCTGCCATGGAGCATCATGCTGTTGCTCCGCTCTAGTAATGAGCCCGTTCCCATCCAATCCCCTCCCGCACTATCGCCGAAGCTTCCGCCGGAGCCTAAGAGCCAGTCCCTTCCCGCCGACTCGTGAAGTTCAGCCACCCGTTCAACCTCCATCATACTAGAGCCTGAATGTCGTACCCCTAGTGTCTGGACAACCCCAAGAGGACGCTTCCCTTTGGCCGAGGCTCCCGCACTCCGTCCAGAGGCGGCACCGACGGGAAGAGCGGCTGCAGCGCTGGACCGTGTCCGGGCAAGCGAAGCGGCTTCGGGGTGAGATCGGCCGGCAGAGACGGAGAAAGTGGGCTCGCTGGTGGATTGCTGATTGTGCGCCGATGGATGGCGATCATGCTGGCCTACTAACGTTGCAGATCGTAGCGCCACGACATCGTCATGATTCGCGGACGGATCTATCCACGTACTACCGTCTGCGGAATACCCCCTCTCGACGAATCCGCGATGAAGCGGTTCGGGATTCAGACAAGCTGTGTTAGTTTCGCGAAACGAGAGCGGAATCGAGGGGACGAGAAAGGACGTGCCGCTCGGAGAAGTATTTACAAGGGCAGTTAAGGACATGGACGGTGGGAAGGATGAGTCAGACGGTAGTAGAATCTGGTCGCGATTAACGGATATATCGCCGACCGAGATAGGAACTGATAGAGATCTCGGTAACGGGCCTTGGAAATGTCCTAGGGGATTGTTTTCATGAGAGGATAACTCTTCGGCGCGAGCTTTGCTGTCGGGATCCCCTACTAGGTGATCAGCTTGATCGCTTTTTGCGAATTGGTCGTCCGCTCGCTTCATCGAGGGCCCTAGCAGTAGTAGCAGTAATGATAAGGCGACTACGCTACTTGCAGAGTCGTACGGCCCGGGATGCCTATGGATAGTCCACGGATGATAATTTGAACCGAGGATAATGTATCCTCGAGGAACGTCGAGTAGCGAAGCGTCCGTTGGAGAGGAAAGGCTAGCATTCGGCGACATCAAGGCTGGCGCGGCTACTGCAAGGAGCAACTCGCAGAAACGTGAAAACGACTCCCCTCGTGTGTGCGAGCCTCCAAACATCAGGTATCGTGTGTGTGGGTCGGTAATTCGGGGACGGACCTGATCTTGATAACCCGATCGCCTGAAACGATCGGCATCATGCGATGCGTGTGGTGCTTTAGTCGAGCGATTACGTGTACAGTTCCACGCCACCCTGCCGCTAACCGACGGCTACCACACTATCTTCCATCCTACACTCTGCTTGATGCCTTGACTTATTCCCTCGGCCATTGCTGGCACGCCCATCTGATGGGCGACGAGCCGTCGCCGTGCCTTCAACCACCGCAATCTTCCATTCCATCCCGGCCTCCGAGAAGGAACTAGTTTTGCCACTGACCCCAAGTACCCCACCCCTTCGGAGTTGCGAGGGACAAACCATGTGGTACGACGTACGATGCCTCCTATGGAACCTAGTTCTGACAAAATGGATGGGAGTAACCAGGCACGTCACTGCCGCGGGCGGTGAAGGAAGCCTAAATGGAGGATTGGATTCTAATGGTTTCTCCGTCTGGGTCTTGAAACCTAGGTCTGGTACCCACTGTAGGTTTGTGAACTTGTGAAGGCTACTCGGAGGCGGACTTCTCGCGACGCTGTAGATAGCATTGATAGTTGGAACATCGGCATTCCTTCATGGGGAAGGAAAATAAGGGCGTGTCTGAAGTGCAAACGTCGAGTTTCGTCAAATTTCGTCGACGAAACTCATCCGTGGGACCCAAGCGTGTTGGTGTCTGAAGTGCAGCCTGACATCCCTCGACGAAACTCGACGTTCGTGCACATGTCGAGGGATGTCGGACAGTGATACCGGGCAGCTGTTTCAGTCACTGTAGTCAGTGAGTGTTTCAAAAACAATTCTTCGACACGCCATGTCTGCATAGCTGTGGCAAACACACGTGATAAGAACTAAGACGAGAGCGACACGTGCTAGAGAAATTTCGCTGGCAATGTGACAGTAGAATATCCGGTGTTACCAGCAACAATCTATGCTAAGCGAAATTCGCGAGATTGCAAACAATTGAGTTACATGAATGATTCTGTTAATTCCACGTCGAATTTTCATGGGCAACTTATAACAGTGTTCCTATGGCACGTGTGGGTTATTTTGTCGTGTGGGTGTCTGAAGTGAACACAGCTGAAAACGGATGTCGAGTTTCGTCAAGGAACGTCGACGAAAGTTTCGTCGGCAAACGTCGAAATTCACTTCAGACACGCCCTAAAATTACAACCTTGGGGGTTCATTTGAGGTGGCTGAGGTCCAGATCGAGCGCCGCCATTCCCAACTTCGACGATTTGCTTCTGATCTTCCGCTTGCAATGTAATCCAAGAGGCGCCGCATTGGGTCTAGCCAATGTTTCAGACACAGATTCAAGAAACGCACCTTGTGCGAGGCAAACGTGCAGGTCGGTGTTAATTCGTCAAGCGATGCTCCACTATGTTTTCTCGTAAAACACTACGTTCCACAACAAGCAGCTTGCACACCCTAGAATCATAGGGATCCTACGTCTCCGTTGGCAGCATGCATGGGCTGCTGTGTTCTGACAAAAAAAAAAAAAAAAAAAAAAAAAGGTGTTTCGAGGTAAGACGATGCGCGTCAGCAATGTTGCCCGTTTGAGTCCCCCCTACTTGGGTTGTGCTATGGGCTTATAAACGTTTTAGCCGTTTCGCCCAGTTCGTTCCATTTCGCCATGGTGTTGAGGTGCTTCTAAAAAACACAGGTTGTAACTCTTTTGTTTTTTCCAAAACAGTGCTGGTGGGCCTGTGTTGTTGTTAGTTCAGGGTTTCGGGTTTATGCTTGTTTCTGGCCAAGAAACAAGAACAAACCGGGTCAGCATGGTTTGTTTTGCGGCTAAGATTCATACTTTGGCGTTTTCTCGCCCAAGTGCAAGTTGATCCGCGTGCCTATACCGTGGGTGCAACTAACCGGGAAAAAAAACACGGGTGCAGAGTTTCTGAAATATGAAAAGAAAATTTTCGCGCAGTGGTTGGGCATCATGTGTACACTTCTGTATGTTCGCTCGATTCGACCAAATGTCCACAGTATCTGGCACTGTCAGCCAGGCAGCTGGCCTGACCCAGTTTCTACAGAGAGAAAACACGTGGCCTGATGTCATTCAAGAGAGGCCTTTGCCGACGAAACCCCACGAGACGAGTACAGTGTCCATGCTGCGCAGGTGAGACAGCCGACGCCGCTAGAGCTGGCACATCATCTTCGGCACGCGGGTGACAAGTCATCCAGAATCTGGGAGCAGTGCCGATATGTTCTGATGTCCGCATGTGCAGGAAAATCTCTATCGGTATGATATGGACAAACCACAGAAATTCGCAGCGCCGCCTTTTGTCTAAAACAAAGTTCACTGTTCATTGAACGACGAAACGAAAAAGGGGGTGTGATTAAAAAGTACCCTCTAAAGAGAACCTCGTTTTGTCTTTGCATCATATGAAGTAAAGCAAAACAACGTTTCATTTTACCCAATACACCTGACTGATAATTTCATGTTTCCCAAACGCTTCTCAGAGACACCCCACACCATCCCAGGGTGATTGTCAGAACATTATATAGCTTATGCTGTTGTGTAGGCTATAGTGGGGTATCCCATAAGGGGTACAACCCAATTAGGGTTTCCTATTTGTACTCACTTCATTTCATAGTTCACCCATTCTCGTTCTTCATTTTCACATGGAATCAGAGCAGGTCCCCTCCTAGGGACTGCTTCTAGGGCCCACCGAAGCGCGCCCTGAGGCGCGTTTTCCTTTTTTTTTAGCGACCCTCCGTGTCGCCCCTTGCGGCCCCGCCGCCCTCCCTTCGCGGCCCCGCCACCCTACTAACGCGGCCCCGCCGCCCTTCCTTCGCGGCCCCGCCGCCCTGCTCGCGCGGCCCAGCCGCCCTCTGCTTCGCGGCCCCGCTGCCCTGCTCACGCGGCCCCGCCGCCCTCTGCTACGCGGCCCCGCCGCCCTGCTACAGCGGCCCCGCCGCCCTCACGTCGCGGCCCGCCCGCCCTCTGCTTCGCGGCCCCGCCGCCCTGCTCACGCGGCCCCGCCGCCCTGCTCACGCGGCCCCGCCGCTCTCTGCTAAGCGGCCCCGCCGCCCCACTACAGCGGCCCCGCCGCCCTCACGTCGCGGCCCGCCCGCCACCCTACCTGCGGCCCGCCCGCCGCCCTACCTGCGGCCCGCCCACCACCCTACCTGCGGCCCGCCCGCCGCCCTACCTGCGGCCCGCCCGCCGCCCTACCTGCGGCCCGCCCGCCGCCCTACTTGCGGCCCTACCGCCGCCCTCCCTGCGGCCCGCCCGCCGCCCTACTTGCGGCCCTACCGCCGCCCTACCTGCGGCCCGCCCGCCGCCCTCCTTGCGGCCCTACCGCCGCCC